AGTGGTTATTTTTTTTTTAAATTATCTATTTGGACTGGTAAAATGTTTTGCCTCTCTCTATTTAAAATCGAAATTACGCCACTGTTTGAAAGTATAGTTTAAATTTAAAAAGTATTTAATTGAAGTAATTGCTTACATTGGTAAAACAAACCATTAGTTATATATGATAATTAGGTGTATACATCATGTATAATATAGGTGTAGCTAAAATAATGTGTAATAATATTCTTATACTTCAATTTGAGTTTAGGTTTTGATTGAAGTCTGTTTAGATTTTTTTTTTTTGACATAAAATTGAATTATTTTGATATCTAAACAAGTATTTAAAGAAAAAGTATACATCTGATTTTCGAGTTATTTTTACAGTTTTAGAAATAATGACAGGAAAATTAATATCCATTCTATAGTCATACTTAATTTTAATTGAAATAATATTAGGTTGTTCATTGTGTCGTATTGCTTAATTATTATACAAATTTATTGTACAGGACTAATAACAACGACGAATAATATTGAAATTAATGAATATATATTAAATAAAATTTATATTTATTTTTTATTAAATTAATTTAATATTATACAGTTATCCATAGTAATAATTGTCAAAATAATTTAAATAATTTAATATTCCTTTACTATGGATGGAAACAACAAACTATATATATATATATATAGTATACGGAACATTCCAAGTTTCTCATAATCTTTACAGTTCATATATATTATGTATTATCTATTATTATTTATTATTATTTAAGTGTTTGTGTTCAACTGACGTACATAAAAAATCTTCTATGATATACATTTGTATAAAACCATATAGGTAAAAAAAGTTATCTCTTGTTCGCGTGAACGTACACATACGAAATGAAATGAAATTTATTTTATAACAATATTCGCGCGTAATAGTGTTTAGTGCGTCATTAAAAAAAAACACTATCACTCATACATATAATAGCATAGAATTGGAATACCTAACGGAGTGACCGGTTCGTTACTATACTCTAGAGACCGGACAAATTACAGACGACAGTCGGACGCATCTGACTCGCATTCAGTGCCGCATCGTCATAGAGTGTGCACGTCTATTATACGTGGATTTGTCTTCCGACTTTTTATATCGTCCTCGCGTACATGAATGCGTACATTTTGTATTAAATAATCTATATTTAAATACGTTCCATCGACCGTTAATATTTATCCGTATCTGTAATTATATTTTATACAACTTTTACTTGAATTCTTCAATTATGACGACCACAGCTACCGCCGAAGCGTTGAAATTAGACCGAACCGACCCTAGAGTGCGAAAACTTGTGTATAACATGTACAGAAACGTTTTGGGAAATTATAACGACAAAGCCAACGCTATGCTGGACGCGTTACCGGAACACCAAGTGACTCAAGATCAAGGGGTTGATCGACAGCTCTCCAGTATATTGTAAGTCTACGTGGGATGTTTCATGTAGTCGTATGTCGATATATATTTATTAACACAAATTAATAAGATAGAAAAACTGTTTATTGATACCTCTATACGATTAATAATTATAAACTATTGTAAATAATGAATAGCATAATTATAAAATAGAAAAAACTGATTAAAAATAAAGATAAAATTAAGAGTTAATAAGTACTTGGAAATCTACTAGCTGATATCTTTTGGTGGAGTTCTTGCTAGACAATTCATAGTAAGTAGTACACAATGTAATACTATTTAATTATTAATACAATATCGTTTAAAAAATGCACTTAAAATACAATTTAAAATATCTTACATAATAAAAATCTAATTTATTAATTTTATGTTAACATGAACCAGTTTTAACAAGAATCAATTATTTGCACCAACATTTTTATTAAATTTAGGAATATTTTCTTTGTGCCTAGTTCAGTATTCATAAGGAACGCTTATTATCGCATTATATCTGTATTTATTCGAAGCAATTATAATATTATTTTAACACAATACTGATTTTCATTTACTTTTAATTTACGGTATACATAGTAATTACTAAAGTACCTATATTATTTTGGTTTATTAAACAGTAATTTAATTAGAATATTTATAGATACACCTGACCTCATTCAATTATCTCGTAATTCAAATTCAAATTGGGCAACTATAATTTACCATGTAGGTACCCATTTTATAAGTAATTTTATTCGTTAGTGCATAGTGTTTTTTTATGTACTTTATTTTAATTTTCTTAAATAATTTTTTGTATGGAAATTCTGTTCATACAGCTCTTTACACTTACCAATATCATTTAATGACTGCAACATTTCAGATAATTTGATCCGCAGCCAACGTTTGTATTATTGTTGTTCTCTCTAAGATTTCAATATTATGACATCATCATTCCTATTCAATCGCTACATATGACGTGTTTAATGATTAAATTATATGTACATATGAAATATATCTTACTTTTTAGATAGATTTACTGATATAAATTATTCTTTGTTCAGATTAAAAGTACGAGATATTAGGTTTCGAAGACTAGTTATATTTTGTGTTAGGTATTTTATTACAATGGTCTACAGAGTTTTGAGCGTAATTGTTCGGTGGGCTCTATTTTGAAATAACATTTCAATTTTTATACAAAACACTATGTTATATTTAGTATTATATTATTATAGGTTTAAATAAGTATAAATGTAATAATAAAATGCAAACTTACAGATACATTTATATTTATACAAGTGGTTCTTATAATATGCAAATTTAAATATTGCTATTATTATTATTATTGTACATGAGTACATTATGTTATTATTAAATTACCAATTTAATTAAAAAACATTTTTGTATAGTTTTGATTAAAAATATTTGATCTCATCAATACCTTTTTTTTAACTATAGCACAATTTAATTAATTTTAATTTGAGTTTAAGGTATTCGTAAACAGTAATATCATCAATAACTAAATAGCTAAATTTTAAATAAAGTCATTTTTAATTCAATTAATTTAGTTTTTTTTATTATTATTAATTTGATTCATTAATAACATATAATATAAATTTTAAAAATGTAATGCACCAATGAGTCATGTTATTTGGCGCACATGCTCGCACAAAATTATTTTTTAACTTATCAAGGTTAGTAATGGATGTAGGATGAAATCATTTTCAGAAAGAGGGTTTTTATTAATATTATTTTGGAAATCAAAATATTATTATTCATTATTATTTACAATAGTGTATAATATACTTTATAGAGAAAGATTGATAATACTTAAAAAATAAATTTTTTTTGAAAATATAGCTGGATATAATATATTTTTAAACTCTTAAAATCTTCTGTCATCAAAAATATTTTTAAATTTTTTATTTAATTATATTTGTGACAATAATAAATACTACAATACAGCTTAAATTATTTATCAAAAATATATAAGTATGCTAATTATGCTATATAATATTATAATGAAGGTTATCGTGGCAGTTAATTGTTTAATCAAATGCCTTTGTCTAATATTGAAATTAAACCAAATTGATGAAAATAGACAATAGTAAACTGTACGATATATCTCTTTCATTAAACATTATAGGTATTTACAACCTACCTACTCGTATTTAAAATTAGTTATTAGTGTAATCGTTTATCATCATTACAGTTTATAAATAATAAATATTTAATATTTGTAATTTGTATATTATCTAATAATTATTATGGTGTATCTACATGCCTAATGGCGTAAAACTTGAAATAATAATATTATTTTTAAGTATATTTTCAAAAATATCTAAAATAGGTAATAACTATTTTTTTATACTTAAGTATTTATTGCATAAGTTTTTTCACAAAAATGAAAAAAATTAAAATTATTATCGTAGGTAGATAATTGATCGTCAAATTGAATAAAAAATGATTTTAATGCTCCATTATTTCATTATTTCCTAATTTTTCGAAGATGATTTTATGTCTTTGTTGATTTGCAATTTATTTTAAACATATTTACTTATATAATAATAATTTATATCAACAAATTTATTATATTGATTTCAATATGTTATAATAAATAGTTGTATTATATTTAAGGACATAAAACATAGCTATTAGCTAACGAACATTATATAGTATGAGATATCTGTATGCTTTCGAAGTTCATGACTATAGGTACACGCATTTACTTACGTTTTATAATTTATTTAATGATATATTATATTTTATTAAACTATAGACTATAGTTTAGCATGACTATTCGTTTGTTTCGGTTTAGATAATTTAAATCTCATATTTCCGCGTACATCGATGCAGTTTCCGTTTTCCAAAGCAATAATCATATAGATTATACATATACTATAAAATGTATAGTATAATCTAATCAAATTACCGTTGACCTTAACGACATACAATAATCATAAATATAAAAGATATAAATAACTGGCAAAAAATTCAACGTGAGAATAGGCAAGGTTGAAAATATATTATGTGTTTTCTGTTTGAAGAGTAAAAAACTAAACACCGGCGCCTGTTCAAGGGCACGCGGACAAGGCTGATCCTGCGAAACATTGGTATTATAGTATCTAAACAACAAGTAGAGATAACCCGTGTAATAGCAGACGATTGAACGGGTTCTTGAGTAGCGTAAATATAATATAGCTCATTTCGGTCCAAATATGGTAGCTTGTCCCCCACAATGATAATTTCAAACACTAGTGCATAATAAAATATACTCGCACGCTATTATTAAACCACTCGATGCACAATATAACATAATATAGATATAACATATATATACACTTATTTAAAAACAGCAGTGATTTATAGGTTCATATTCTAAATATTTAATATTTTAAAATTTGTTCTATTTTGTGGTTCGCTGTTCTTATATAGATAATCAGGTACGATCGTGTAAAACTTGTTATGTATTATAATATTTATATTGTTAGACTTAAATTGAGCGTAGACTATTTTTAACCTATCTGAATTGTATATGAAGTGTATATTAAATTAATAATTAGGTATTACCGTTTGTTGTATTATTATACAGGCATCAAATAGGAGCGAACGATTTAGCCGATAAAGATATGTCTGCACCACCCCCGCCAGCGCCGCCACCACTACAATGTTCTGGTAATAAAAAAAAAATCTAGCTTATGTAATATATTCATTTATATTTTATACATATGGTTTCATGTAAACGACTTTTAGGCTTTGTTTACAAAATCTGTAATTTAGCGTTATGTAAATTTATGTTATTTGTTTACAGGAGTTACAACTCAAGGTGGTCCACCACCGCCTCCACCACCTCCAATGTTGCACAGTGGACACATTCCAGCTATTAGAATAAAAACTGAGGTAAATATTACTATTGTTTTTTTCTTTTTTTATGTACCTATACTTTTATATTCTATTTTTATAATCACAATTAATGGCAGAAAATCCGAGTAATTTTTAATTATTGTTTATTTAAGCTTAATATAAAATAGCCGCGCTATAACTTTTAAAAATATTTAGATAAATTATTCACGCTTATATTGTTTAATTTTAATTTTTACCGGGTTCAATAAAAATAATTCTAAGAGAAATTAGTAGATTTAAAAACTATAAACATTAATAAATAAAAGCAACATAGTCAATTAAATTTGTAATAAAATATCATTAGGTGCTCACATAAGAGTAACATTAAGCATGATTTTATATTGTATGTACCTCGTAGCTACTTATTAAATAAACTATTGTTCATTGTATTATTCTTACTGTAGCAACTGACAATAATTATCACTGTACATAACTATTCAAACTTGGATAAAATGTTTTTAATTGCATTTATGTGTAATTCGTTTATGATTAAAATAAGTGTTTATGATGCAATTGTTTACACTTTATATTTTATAGTACGTTTTAACAACAATTAAACTAAAGTCAGTACAATAATAAATATGCATACATTTTGAATTTACAAACCACTCAACTATATTTTTTATGAATCATAATTCATATAATTCAAATAATTTGTATATTGATATTTTTATCTTTAAATTAATTATTCTGTTTAGTAGAGAAAATTAGTTCTTTAACTATTATAAAAATTAAATTGTTAATATACAGTTACATATAATACATTATAAATATATTTTTATTATTAATAAATATTATAATATAACTTGCTTCTTACAAAATACGAGTATTAAATAACGATAACGATTTTTTTTAGTTGAATGAGCCCAGGGAGATCCCATCAACTATACAAAACGCAATGGCTACTAAAGACAAAAAACCATTTACGTATCTTCCGGGTGGATTAGATTTGAGCGAGATCAGAAGTCCTCGAATGCAAAGGCGCTTAGAAAGAAATGCCCAGACTCCACCTAGCCCGGAACAAGTACCTCAGAAATCTCCAGACTATCAACAGCAACAAGAGGTGAAACCAAACTTTGAACAAAAACCAGTATGTAATGTGCGCTCTGCTGCGGAAAGAGTATGTCTATTACCCCAAGTTCAGAATCAAACACAATTGAATAAATCACCCACACCTTGGATGCAAAAACATGCGCAAATTCAACCTTCTTCAGCTCCGTGGACTCAAAACAAAAAAGAATATATTGATCAGGTGATTATTTATAATTTTATAAGTATCTACCTTAATATGTTATATGTCGTATTTGATTTGATTGTATAGTTAGTAATTCTACTTACTCGTATTCCTAGATATTTAAATAAATTGTCATAAATAATTGTTTAGGTTGATAAACCAGAAGAACGAATAATTGTACCTATACGAGTTGAAACTAATAGACAAGTACCAACACAACCGCAGAAGAATAATATAAATCATTCATATGATTCTGAACCGATACAAGGACGTTCATTTAAAGTGCTCCAACAAATTACCGAGCCAAAAGGTGATTACATACTATTAGTTATAATAAATGACTTGTTTATTTTAGACACTGAGAATGTATTGCAGATTTTACATTGATGTATGTTTTTTTTTGTGTCGGTCATCACTGGCAAATCTAGGATTGAATTTATTTTTTTTTTTTTTTGGGGGGGGAGGGGGCTCTTAAAAAATTACTTCTAAATCAAATTACAGTTTAAAATATTTGTATTAGTAAAAAAAAATTTTTGAAGGTGTTAAGCAGTGCGAAGGGGGTTCCTGCCTTAACTTTAATCCCGCTACTGTTTGTCATCAGTCATCACCATAAGCAAAAATAGGGTGGGGCTTGGGGGGGCTTAGTTCCCCCTGATTCCATTTAAGCCTCCAATATTTACTCTCATATTAAAATTTAATGTATTAATAATCAAATGTGGTTTTTGACTGCTCACTATGACTGCACACAATATTGTCAATATCAATTTTTTTTACACTTCAAATATAGAGTTAATTTATTTATGAAATATTGGGAATATAAATATTTATCTATAAGAGTAAAAGACTTATAAATAGACAAGTTATAGTTAAACGATGATGGTATCGAAAATATCTTGAAAGTTAATGTTGATTTGAAAGTTCTTAAACTCATTGAATAACAATCAAATCTTTCCAAATTATTATTAACTATTTCATGTAGCGACAACTTTGCCAATTCATTCTGCTACTTACGAAAGGTCATTATCCGCCACGAGGAGATTGAAAACATGGATGAGTTCAACAATGTTCCAAGAAAGATTAGGTAGCTAAGGGTTAATTAATATAGGAAAGGACATTAACATTTACATGTTATCAGTATTAAATGACTTTGCTAAATCCAACAGGAGAATAAATTTAATAGTTTAGTTACCTATTACCTAGTAAATAATAGATATTTGTGTATTAAATAATATTTTTATTCGATGTGGGGATTTTCGTTGAAAATATTGAAAGGCTTGAACCCCTGCCAATGTAATTCCTTATTTGCGCCAATGGTCATCACTATTTTTGTGATCAATATTTTCCAGTACTTTTCTCAATAATTAGGAAAAATATAATTTTTGCATTAAATCAGTTTTTGACAAAATTTTCATATTTATTTTGCTATAATTCAAAAACTAATAATCGTAAAACTTAAAGTTTTTACATAAAGTTATATTATTATTTTCTATACTTGGTATATTTTTTAAGCTATTTATAGACCTAAAAAACTTTTAATTTGTTATTTTTAGCTTATTTTCTATAAATGTTGATAAAAATTAAAAATATGAGCGTAATTTTTTATTATAAGTGTTTGAGATTAGAATCTTTATACATTTTTAGTTAGAAAATAATTTGCAAATTATATCGACATTTGAACAAATACTTAAAAAATCATGCCTATGTACGTATCTTTATTATTTTTAAATATAACTATAGTTAAACTTGCAAAGAAATTTTTGTCATAGTTTAATGTTTTTTACCGAGTGAAATTTTTTTTATCGATATTTATAGAAAAGAAGTTAAAAAAACTGAAAATTTAAAATATTTTTAAATGGCTCAAAATGAGTTTGAACTATTCTGAATTTTAAATTAAATCATGTATTGAAATTGCAATAATTTGGTGAGTATTTCAAGTATTCATGGTTATTCGTTTTTATATTACAACAAAGTTAGAAAATTGATTTTGTAGAAAACTATTTTACGTAAAATTTTCATTTTTCTCTATTATTTTTAAGAGTACTGGCAATTTTTAATTTTGGTCTGATAAAAGTTTCAACTATATTCACTTTTTTACCAAAGAAGTTAATGAAATGTAAAATGAATGCATTTTTTTACTATTATACATACACACTTAGAAAAAATCATAATAAAATTAAGATATTTGAACCAATTGAAACCAATAGAACCATGTCTAAAATTATGGAAAACCAGTGTTTAACAAAATCAATTTTCTATATTTATACAATAATTTTGTAAACATAAAATTATCTTTACAATGTCCAAATGTATATATTTGTTATAGATATACTTATATAGTTATACCTACGTATTATAAGTTTTATGAATTATAAATTTAAATAGACTTATACTTGCATACAATATACGATAATATACTTAAGTACTAAGTGATTTGAATACTTAAACTTAACTATATTTTAAAATAATATCATGATATTTTGCATGTTACAATTTATCAGCTACCTAGCATTTTCTTAAATATAATTATTTTTAAATTTTTGCTATTTCAATAATCCATTTATTTTATTTAAGTATTGAATTATACTTTTCAGGAATGCTTTATGATGGTTCACAGCCCTATAACAGCCAGTCTTTACCTTTGTCTGAACTCAGAAAATTGCAGTTAAGTGATGACGATCGATCCTTCATGAGTAGGGTTAAATCTCAAGGTTTGTATTCTTATGAAAACTTAAAATAGATAGCTAATAAGTTATAAATACTCGCAGAATTTCAATATTTAATCATTATAGCTAATAATGTAGATACAGAAAATCCAAGATATAGAGGTGGTTCTATACCTTCCAAGATATTCAAAGTTTTGGAAAATAGTGGTAAACATTTATGTTATTATTCGGTGGTGGTAATATACCAAGTAACACGCTCGCTTTTTTGTTATCACGGCACATTTTGGCACTTTTTAGAATCAGTTAAATTTCCAACGTTTTAATCAAGTTTAGTATATAATTCAAAATTATATACCTAGATACTCATTAAAATACTACTTTTCTTACACTAAATTTAGTTGAAGTATACATGTATTATTAAACGTGTAATACTATAATTTCATAATATATTAATTAAGGGAATTATTTTTGTATACGTTTATCAGTTGATGATGATAAATTTTTACACAACGAAACGGATCCTCGTTACAAAGGTGCGTCAATTCCATCTAGAAGCTTTCGAATGTTGCAAACATTAACGAACTCTGCACCGGGTAAAAAAAATGTTTAATCAAATCCCTGTATGTAATTATGTGTTTGTCAGGATATTATCTACTAATGAAACATATTTGCCGTGGTAGATTTAGGCTACGCGCTAGTATATTGCTTTGAGCTTCGTTATGGTACTTATTTTATAAATAATTTTGTTTGATTTCGTAAATCTCATACTGGATTTTAAATTTTACAGTTCCGATGGACAACAACTACAAACAATCAGTACCGATAAACAATTACGTACCAGGTAAAAATACATTTAAAAAAATGATCATATACTGTACTCATGTTATATAATATTGTGGTCTAATGCTCCAATCAATACATTTTTAGTAGAACCTATAGAATCCAAACTATATGTACCACCCTCAGAGAGACCTGTCGGTTCGGAACCGCATAAGTATACAGGTGGTTCTATACCATCCAGATCATTCAGAATGTTACAAGCTATGACTGGCCAAAATAACGGTAACGTTCCATAGTTAAAAGTTTTGTATTTAACTAATTATAGAATTAATGAAATCAGGCGATCAAATATATGATACAATTTTACTATCTATATGTAATTTTTTAATTATAATTTATATTTAGTATCCTTCTGACAGTTAATTAATTATAACTTTCCAACTTATGCAGCGGTTATGAGAGAATCACTTATTTAATTATTAATGATAAAACTTTCTTAGTTTTTATCGTATTATTTTTTATCATCTGTTAGTATGAAAATATTTACACCGTTATAATCTAACAATAATAGATGTGTTATTTTTAAGGTTTTATAACTTATGCCAGATTAATATAATTTAAAGCATCAAGTTAATATTTTATAATAACTAGTAATTTATGATTATATAGATGTAAAATTAAAATATTTTATACTGACATAGTGACATCATCAATAGATATTTTTTATTAATATATGAACATTGAAAAATAACTAAAATACAATAATAAACCTATATATTTTAATTTTTTAATAGGCAAATGTTTAAATGGTTTTTCATCTCAGAAATACTCGTACCTATTTAAATTTAATTTTAAGATTACCTAATGATTATTATATTTACTAATTTTTTTTAACTTAAAATTAATCAATATCATAAAATATTTAAGTGTTTAAAATTGTATTTTTGTTAAGTGATTTTATTGTTTATAAAAATATTCTTAATTTTCTAATAACCATTATTCATTGTTGAATTTTAAAGATTTTGGTATATTTAAAAGGTTTAATGATGTATAAGGGATCTAATGTTACGTCCTAAATAATGCCTTGTAGTTGAGTAAATAACCTAATAAAATGTTTTAATTATAAGTTTATATACATTTTTTATATTGGTTTGTTTATAAAATATATTAACCTATTTAATAATGTTTGTAGTAGAAATATAGTTTAATTTTGTAATTGAAAGATGAAATATTACTTTTTAAACTTTTTATGTGTGTGAATTTGTTTTAGTATTTTATTGCTTTTTTATTTTGAATAGTATTTTACTTCGTTTTTTTAAATATTTTTACATTACTTACAAAGTTATTTTTGTTAAGTTTATTTATTATATTAATGTTGATTATGTTTATTTATTTTTTTCACTTTAATGCATTTGTTACTTTCGTGAGTAACAAAAAACTGTAATTAACAATAATAAAAACACTATACCACATCGACCGTTCTGCAATCATCATAGTTATATTTTACGTCCAAAGCAAATGTTATATTTTTTACTGTCATTAAATTGTTTACGTAATATTTTTTAATGATATTTGCATAATAGAGAATACGTATTATATTTGTACTAGTGGGCGGTGGACATTATACTGATTATAATATATTCGTATACATGCATTTAACATATACCGTTAAATAATGAAATATATTTTTTACATTAATCATATTAAATATCTGTAATAGTTATAATAAATTGTGCAAAAAAAAAAAGAAAGTAGAATTGTGGAATTAGCATCAAGGACGAAGTTCTAATAATGCGATTAGCAAGCTCGGTCGTTATTTTTGTTTTTTTATTTTGTTTTGTAGAAAAAGAACAACAAAATGACTTACAAAACCTGCAATCGCATACCCCTTACCCTTTTCTTTGTCCCGAATTTTGGGAACATTACAATTATCTAAAGAAATTTCACGATTGGCATTGTACTGGTTCTGCGTCGATCGATCAACAGCAACAACAACAGTTCACACTACAACAATCTGTGCAGACCAGCATTGCGTCGGCGGCAGACAACGCTGTTTATACCGGACACGTGTTGAATACTATCGCCGAAGAAGAAGTCGCCGATGACGAGATCATAAGCTCACCGTGCTACGTGCCGGACAACGACGATACCGACTCGAGCGAGTGTGAAGTGACGGTGACTGTAACGTTGCCACTAAAGAAAGCTACAACCGATATAACGGTGAGCGAGGAATTGCAGAAAGGCGCATCAGCTAGTTCACCGGTAGATTTTTGGCAGCAAATCAATAACGACGGTGCTGCAGGTGGGTCAACCGACACCACTTCTACGTCGGACAGCGACGACGGATGTTCGGACGATGAAAAGCTGTCAAGCGCTGTTTGTCTACCAGAGAATCTACTGGAGAAGCCGTTGAGCGCCGATTGTCTGCCAGACGGCGAGGCGGTCGGTGACTGCCGCCAACCATTGGATCGTGACGACGACGCTGACTCAGGCATTATTACGACGACGTCGTCGGCCGACATGGCAAGCCAACGCACTTCCGACAAAGATACAATCATCAGCGGCAGAACTGGAGGCGTCGGTTCGAAGAAATATCAAAGAACGTGCACGCATTCACGTCTCTTCGACTTTTTGCAGAGCAACGATGACGACAACGACGACGACAATGGCGCGGACTTCAGCAACGTTACCGATGCGATAAACAAACCACCACCGCCGCCGCTGTCACTATCATGCACTTCCGGTTACTCGTCGGCAGCTACTACGCCGTCCACGCCGTCCGTAGTTGGAAGAAGTCGGATTTACGAATCAGACTCAGCCCGGACGGAATACGATAGTTACTATAAGAGCTGGGAATACGCTTGTCCATATTTCGGATACGACATACTACCGTCGAAGGCATTCAAGACTATTGCGACGCAATTGCAGAGAAGTGACGGTTCTGTGGCAGACTTCAAGGTCCCGTCGACTACCACCACCAAGTTCAAGTGTCCCAAAATTCCTACCGGAAAAGACGAATCTTAAACGCGTCTTTTCCCCATCTATACACCCCCGCACTTTTCATTTCTATCGTTTGGGTTTTTTTTTTACGATTTTATAAGGTATTATATGATATACGCGTTGTTTGGAGTCTGTGAACGGTTGTTGTTTTCTCTCTGCAGTTAATCTCATTCTCTCTCTCTGTCTTGCGATTTTTGTGTACACATACCACATAGTTTGTACTACACTTTTACCGCCAACCTCGTTTATATATTCACACTCACACTACACTTACTTGAAATATACATCATTATTTGTGATACGTGTACGTATGTAAAATAAATACCTTAATTGGTTCATATACAGACTACTTAAATTATGCCTATACAGCTATACGTCGTTAACGTCGGCACACTGTCTGAACCCAACATACATATACCCAACACTGACTTCTACTGCATGTACGCTTAAAACTACCCCACTTGCGTGGGATTTTCATGACAACGTACGAAACGTACGATATATCTACACTTTCAAATAAACGAGGTTGAGGTGCGCTGCAATGATATGTATATTATTATATCGTCCAAATCACAGACATCAATGATGTACCGTGACTGTAATATTATACTCTCCCTCAATACATATTTCGTCTTCTTCTTAGCTCTGTGCTGCGTTAACTTCTTCACAGTTGGGAATAACATTATTATTATTATTATTTTATTATATAACTCCACCTTTTGGAATATTCCATTATAATGTGTATATATGTGTATATTAATTTTTTACATATAAATATTTAATTATATTATATTGTTGTTGGTCTAAAGTATCAAATATTTGAACGTCTTCATTTCATTGGAATATAATGATAACAATATACATTGAAAGAATGTATATTTAGATTTAGTTTTCAATCTGTTTAACTAATTATTTTACCGTTATAATATACGAAACAAAAGGTGTAGTTTTTGTATTTGGTTTTCGAAGTTTTTTTGTGTGCTGTACAGTTAGATCGTTATTGTTATGTTTTACTGTAGACAGTATTCCAAATGCCCGGTAGACGTTGGTTTCATTCTCTTTATTAGAAGTTCTAGTCGAGACATTCAAACGGCTTGTTAATATTATGTATAGTAGTTTAATAGTTATATACTTCGTCACCGACAACGTTTGGGATGCTTAGATATTTTGCAAATAACAAAATTTTGATTAAGTCATTTTTTTTCACAGGTAATTTAGGTGAATCCGACTTCTGATTTGGAATTACAGTAACTACAATCAAACTGCTTTTACGTTAAATGATTTATATTTGTACGGTTTACGCATTTTTGCTATATTCATATATGTATAAATAATTTTAATTATTTAGTATTGTAGGTAAATTGAACTTATATTAACACATAATGCTAGCTTAATATATTTATGTCTATACTATAAAAAAATATATTGTAATAAAAACGAATAAGTTTTAAACCGTGAATAAAGATCGTCTTCAATTGTACTTCATTATTTCATTTGTGGATGTGCTTGTTATATAAGTGAATGAGCCTGTCAATATTCAAAAGAGCTAATAAAAATTTTGAATTGATGTACTAAGGCATTTAATATAATGTGTATTTTTTTTTTTTTATCGTCACGATGAAAATAGCTCGTAAATAGATAAATTATAATGTAAATAACTCGGTACGTACTAAACGGTTATAGTAGTAGTTTCATGACGAATTGCTAAAGACATAGCGCTCTAACCGCAATTATTATAAGTTATAACACTTATAAGTTATAACCAATGATGAGAAAGCCAGTTATAGTTTATAGTTGCTAGAGCGCAGTGTACAAACTAACTTTAACTTGTTATTACTCTGGTAAACTGCCACATATTTATATAACTAAATCATTTTTATTAAATGTGGGACGCTCGTGATAATTGACATCAGCTCTGCCGTACAGACTGTGGACCAACTTTCTCCCAGAAAAGTAGTGTATGAATAGAAAATTCTCCAAATCCTATAATCCCGATTTTGTACATATTAACGATATATCATCATTGATCCAATTGTTCATTCTGGCTCAATGGCTAGGTCAATACAAGATTAGTTTTAACACAATTATTCACATCCATATTCGTCCCTGCCAAAAATTTTTATTCATATTACCATTTTTTTCTTTTCTAATCTAATTTTTAGTTGTCGCGACAGTCATAATATTAAATTACAATCGGCATTATAATACGGTTAATACGATTTGTATGATAAGCGGCAACAAGTGATTATTGATATGTTAAGTTCGATCGAAGATCTACATCTTGTTCTTGCACGCATTGCACATTTGCACGACACGTTGACGCATATCACTTAGTAATTAATATGCTGTATACAAACTAATCATATTATTTTACAGTTAAGTGTTGATTCAATCTCTCTTCGCAAATCAATTTTTATTCTATGATTCCGATCGCTCCAATAATGCAAATTTGAAATTGTAAACGGATTTAAACGTCTTCTTTGTATGATTAGGAACTTACTACTTAGGGTACGCCCTACCGACGACTTTTTCATTTATTTATTCAAAGAAGCGTTTACATAAAATGATGTACTCACCATTATTTTTATTATTATTAGGTCAGACATCGGAAGATCCAGTTCGATAAGTACACAAGACGATTTGACGGTGAGTGGGTTGATATTGCATGCAAATAACATTTATGTCTTCTGGATACTGTAAAGTATATTAGTAGGTAGAAAACATCTCTGCAATCAGTAAATTATTGTGTACCTACGAAATCGGTTGATGAAGCCATTTGTTGAACATGGTATTTTTTCCATTATTAACAAATCGCCATTAAAATAATCATAACCCACCTGCTACTCAATCGTAATTTCTAGTGCGTTGCTCAAGCAACACACAAACATAGCTGGCTATAATAAGCGCCACCGCATACGCCTGCGGTAGACCTCCTCTAACCCATTTAATAACAAAACATTTGTGTCCAAACGATTCACAATAATATACAGTCGAAATGTTTTACAACAACGAAAACTACTACAAGTAACGCAATAACCACACTAAAAAATTTCGTTTATCATCTAAATTATGTTACCTACTATATGATATGTGTACGCTGCTGCAGTGCTGTAGTTCCATAATATTGCATTGAAACTTGTATACAAGTGACAGTCATAGAACCATCAAGCGTTTGTTATAGATAGTATTATTTATTTTTTTTTTTTAATCCAACTCGCATTCGCCACTATTTAATGAAAATAATGTAATTTTTTGAAAACTGATAGTAAATATTAATGCATATCTATTATATTATATAGATTGGTATACACAAAATTAAACATACGTCATACATAACAATAAATATACACAATTAACGTTATCGTCATCGGCGATATAAGGGTATATTTATGTAGGTATTTGGTCAAAAACTGTGCCTTGCCGTATAATAATCGCGAGAATCGTCGTGACCGGCAACGCTACGCACGTATATCATAGTATATTATTATGTACATACGAATACAATTAAATTTAAGTTTGAACTAAGATTTTTGTACATATGGGGAATAAATATTGCTTTCCGCAATAAAGAGGGTTCGTTGTAGACAAATCAGAAATCGAAATACGTTGGTATACATTATCTATATTTTTTTTGTCGGGATTTAATCATTTTGTTTATTGAAAGAGATGTCCAATAAGTCGGATTTCACTGTATAATAAAAAATGTGTATATATTATACTATACACAATATATTTATGTGTTTAAAATTATTAGACCTGCGCGTACACATAATAACACGTACACACACACACTTGACGAAGTCACTGGGTCAAGTCTCTCGCACACACGATGGCGTGGGCTAAACAGGTATTATTCATTACGATACTTACATTCATGGGGGCGACTTGCATAACGACGACGATACGTTATATAGCGTTAAAAGACAGCCGCAGACCGCGCGAAACGAAGAGTCGTCTTGGTGCACGCTGTCACGTGGTTGTCTGCAACGGTCTTAAGGTACTCGTATTTCATACCTAACAGCGCCGCCATATACTTACGTGATACGTGGTAAAAGTAACTATCGCTGATCAGCACGCAATCAATCACTAATAAAAATCTACTAAAGTCAAGTTTGTTTTTTTTTTTTTTTTTTACCGTTCGCGTGCGTTGAAAATGTTTTAACGAGCCCGTTCTCTTGACCGCTGTAGTCTGGTCTGTACTTGAAGTTGTAGATCACACGGCGAAGTTACCTATAAGCGCTGTAATACCTATTGCTGCGGTGATCAATTCATCACGAGACTGTTATACAAAGATGAGAAACGTGGTAAATATTATATCATATCTCAGACTTTATACTTTAGATGAAATACTAGCTCCTCGTATTATCAGATGAATCATTAGTATTGTACATAATATAAGTTTATCTACTGTGTAATTGAGTAATACATCAATAGTCGTTTTATACTTTGAAATATTTAAAACTTAAATTCGATTTTTATTCAAACGTTTGTATAATAATTAATTATTATTTAAAAATTAAACTCATTTAAATATAAAATATTTCATTAAATTATTGGAAGTTAAATATAAAAATCGAAAAGGAGGTACACAAATTGTATCCGGTTTTATCTAAATGACTACACGAGTTGCGTCCGACTATTTTATAATTATATTTTTTTCCAGTTCTATTTCAAATGGTAAGGTAACTTTTAAACAGATTATACTTAGTTTGTATACGGGAAGGAAAATTATGTTTTTACGTTTTATAATTTTTTAAATATTAATTAAATTTTTTAATACTAATTTAATTTACATACTTACTTCTAATTGCAAAAAACCATATTTTTAACCAACCGATATAGTTATAATGTGCTTTTGACAGTGACAGTCTGTAGGAAAATTATATTCTTACGTTGGGACGCAACTCGTGTACTCGATAAATATTGTTGGGACGCAATTCGTGTATTTGATAAAATATCACTGGGACGCAATTCGTGTGGAAAATGGATTTCGGGACGCAATTCGTGTGCACCGATAACGTCTTTCATTACATTACCTTATTGACTTAGAAAAGTGATGGGATCGAATTAACCGGATTATACCTATTATTGGTACATCCGTAGATAATGCTACACGCGATTCTAATAATCATAATAGGTTTATTGTTAATTAAAACAATTGTAATAGCTTTTTGATAATCTGAAAGGTATGCGCATAGAAGAAAAAGGATATTCGTTTGTTATCGCTGTGATGCTGTTCATCCCAAAAGAGCTGATTAAGAAAAATTAAGCACAAAATAATTTTTCAGAGTATGTTGTGCAAACATATATTATAGTATTGATATTAATAAAGGCAGAGAATTTAGTAAATCAAAGCATGGCCGCATGGGTGCATACATGTTGTTTATTAATATCACAATAAAGCTATTGTATTAACAAGATAAATATACTTAACGGTAATAATATAATATATTTTATTATTATAATAACATCGGTCAAGAAGCAATACGTCGTATCTCGAAAAAGCTTATTTTTAAAGAGACATAAAATATGTTTATAAAAATAATTTCTTCTTATACTCTTATTTCATTAATATTTTTTTTTCAAATAAACAATCTATATATGTATACAAAAAATGCACAGTAAACTTATATATTAAGAATAGGTATAGATATAAAAAGGATTGATTAAGAACTAAGGGAAAATAAGCCATCCATTAGTGACATTCATTAAATTAATTATAATAATTATACATATATATATTTATATATTAGATTCTAATCAGAGTGATGAATGTAATAATTTTACAATGATATATGTGTTTTTTCTCTGTCCGTCAAATTTTAGGGCAGTAAAAATGCTTTAATTTAAAAAATTCTGGTTGTTTTTTGTTGAAAATTGGTTTGAGTTGGTACATTGAAATAAAAAGAAAAAAAATCATAATAATTTTTTGTAACTGGGAAAAACAAAAAAAAAATAAGCAAAAAAAGACATTTTTTTGCAAATTTAATTTTTAACAAAATCGATTTTTTTTATTTGGTGTAACTCAAAAACAAATAAACGCAGTACTTGAAGTGTTCACCAAATTTTTATATTATCATTTTTTATTTACGAATTTTTAAAATATTTCGACTCTTTTTAAGCTATTTATAAAAACATGAGAAATTTTCTAGTTTTTTTAGTTTTTTTTTTTTTTTTTATAAATGTCGATAAAAATTATTCACTAGTTCAAAATTCTTCAAAATGTAATACAAGGCCTAATAAAAGTTGTTCTTTTGTCTATAAAAATATGCATTTGAAATTCGTAAAAATTGCAAAAAGCTATTTCATCGTTAAAAATGTATAACATTTTTTTTTTCTATACCTAGGTTTTGAAAATTTAATAAAAGATTCATCATAAGTAGGTCTTACTAAAACTATAAAATTTAAAAATATTTAAAGATAATTATTTTTTATAGATATTTTAAATTAAAATTTGGATTAAATTACTTATTTAAACAACAAATAACGATATTAATTATTATTTTGTCAAATGATACGTACGTGTAATGCTGCTCAATTTAATTATCAATATAATTGATAAGCAAACTAGTATACTTTTTAAATAATAATTATAAACAATGTGCATCATTTCTATTATATGCATAACAATAATATTATTGTTTGTTTTGAACCTAATAAAGTAATGAGTTATAAGTAGGTAATGACAAACTCCAAAAAACATTGGGTAATCATTATGAAATACAAGAGGTAGATTACACTATTGCAGACGTTTGTGAAAAAAATAAAACTTTTACTCAGATGAGGTCATAAATAATTTAATAGATACATAATTACACCTACGTTTAACATAACCATTTTATATATTTAAAAAAATAACTTTAAAAAAAATTATCACTCTTTGACACAAAATAGGTTAAATAAACTGTACAACAGCCATTAACCGTTATAATCATTTATCAATTATACATTGCTAGTTAAAAAAAAATTGGAATTTTATTAGGTCAATTAATAAACTACCTATGTTTTAAAAACTAATGTAAAAAGATAAATCAAAACAATGTATTACTGATATGTGTGACGCATAGCTTAATTAATAAATAATAAGTCTAGGGCCCGGATTTATATGCATTTGCATGTTTTTTCTGAACAGTTCAAAAATAGCTGGGTAAGCTTCAAATTTGATTAGTAGGCAATAGATCTGAAATATAAAGTTTTGTTTTGCATATTTTATCATTTTTTGACATGTACTGCATATTTTTGTATTTTACGATTTTTTATTTTACATAAACGGTTTTTAAATGCACAATGTGTAATATTTTGCTTATTTTAATTAAAATAACGTATTTATAGTTATATTAATAATAGTCCATGTAATTTTACGAAGTCTTTTTCCTCTTATCTGAGGCCTATCGGGACAAGTAGTAATTTGTGATTGAGTAGGTCTAGTGAATTATATATTAGTCACGTTTGTCGTGATCTGAGTGCGCATAACTTTCATTCGATTTTATTTATTTTATAGGTTTTATTTCTATAAAATTAGACCATAAATGCATATTTCAGAGGTTTTTAGAGCGTATAAATCCGAGCCCTATAGACTATAGGTATATCACATTTTATAGTTATGTTTGTAAATACCTACACAATACATTCAAACTTTGGTGAGCGCCAGATGAAAGATGGTTAATAGCCAATTTTATTGAATTTAGTGATATCAAGATTTTAAACACCGAATTTGTTTTTCGCCATGAAATCAGTGTGTCTACTCATGGCCAATATTACAAAATTATTAACTTATTTCAATACCTAAGAATAAAACAAAAGTGTAGAAGATTTGATTTAATTATTTCAAGTATAAAACACGTGTTTCAAGATCTTTATCGCATTGTTACTAGATAGTAGATCAGTTGATTGGTATCTAAACGTTGAAAATTAAATGTTATAATTACGATAAACAATCACCACTTATGAATTAGATGTTTTAAATCCTGAAAATATAATTCATTACTTATATTGATGTCGACATTTATTAATAATATCGTACACGGCATACTTATCATAATATTCGAATCATTTGAAAACCGCATGCGCTGGATTGTTTTCAAAATTGTACCGATTTATCTAAATAATATGAGTATTCGTTTTTACAGTGTCTGTTGGTGGCCTTTTGGTTTGCCACATGTACGATGGTTATTGTTGGCCACGTCTCCGCGGTGGAGTTCGATCAGTGGCAGCCTTCGCCGTACGGCGACGACCATTATTACTACGGTGGGTCCACTGCGGCGGCTGCGGCAACTCCAGTGAACGAGGAAGAGTCGTCGCGCACTCATCATGGAAAGCACAAGTTCAAGAAGCTCAAGAAGCGACTGTTGCTGCAGTGCCTGTTGGCGCACGGCCGGCGACGGCGTGACACTTCCGCGGCTTCTGGTCGATTTTTACTTCCGGTCGTATTGCAGAGCACCAACGTCAACGTTGGTGCTGGCGGCCAGCAGCATCAACAGCAGCAGCAGTCACACCACGGCGGCGGATGTATGCAAATGTTCGGTGACGACAGTCACGGTCCGCTGGGTTCGCCGCCGTCGTTGGGCTCGTTAGGTTCCCCGTTAGGCTCGCTGGGTTCGGCTCTCGGTTCGCTGGGCTCGTTCGGGCCGTCAGTGACGGAAAATCCGGAGGAAGACGAGGGCGGCAACCGCAATGGTCTGTCGTATTATTCCGGCGACTGGAACAGATATGCCAGACAGTTTCGCCGCAACTTTGTCAGGCCTCTGTACCGACTTTTCTAGGCACGTATTTATATGGTCATCTCGGCGCAGCTATTAGATTCCGCCCAGACGTCTCAAATGAAACTGATATCCAGTGTACCTATAAGTTATACCTGCAGTTGTGGGACTCCTTTCATATTTTTCATTACATTAGGTAAATGTCACTTGTATCATTGTAAAATCAACTATATATCATACGTAACATGTATACATAGAATTTTTAATTACCACCCAGGACCCATAATTCACATATAATGATTGACAAATATACAACTATCAATTTTTTTTTTTTGATAATAATCATGAATATTTTGTTAAGAATTCTTTTGGCACACTTTAGTTAGGCTAGAAAATTTAGAAAAGTAATTAGAAAACTATTCTACTAGTAAAATTAAAACTTTGAATCAGAATTTACAAGTAAATTATCATCTCCGTTGAATATTCCCATATTGTATATTATTAGTGTAAATAGTATTAATTTGATAAATCATTATTCACAACATATAATTCAATTAATATTAAAGAAAATAAAGTAGATACATATGTATAATAATAACATAATTGTGTTATAATTTAATTGATTATAATGAAATAATAAATTATGATCGTTATTTTTTTAAATTTAATAATATGGTTTTATAATCAAAGGCAAATATGTGTTATTGATTATTTTCATTATTAGATATCAAGTAAACTATGAGTTTTGGTAATTAATACTTTACTTGTCCATCTTATAAAAGCAGGAGAGTGATTTTATTTTAATTCAGAGTAAAATAAAAAAAAATGTTATAAAAATATGAAATGAATAAAAACACAATCAATTTTATTAATGTTATTTAAGATGTAGTTTAGCTAACATGACCATAATAACTGATACATTCACTAATGAAAAATTGATATAACTAAAAACAAAAATGGTATACCAAAGCCCCTTAAAAGATTTAAGAACTTTACATAGCAATGTATTTCTTTTTCAACAATTTATAATTTCATGTGTTCAGGGTTCAAGCATACTTGTTTAATTTAGCTCTTTAAAGTAAAATAATGATTAGAATTTTTTTATCTGCCATTTATAAATTACATTTAAATAGGTAACATAAACATTAAAATAATATCATAACAATAATAAAATTATTCTCAACATAATATATTCCTCTTTGTAAAATAATTATGAAATACATATTATAATGAATAATAATATTAAACATCTAATAATAATATATAATTAATGAGAGTAAAGTGATTAATTAATGCACATTTTCTTCATAATAATAAAATAAAATAATATATTATTCGGATATAATAAAATGTAAAATATAGTTAACAATCATATACAATTTGTCTTCATAAATTGTTCACAGTATTTTAATTTAAAAAAGGAATGTAATTTAACTATTCAACAACATTAATTTTACAAAAATTATGGTATTGGAAGTTAACAATAAAACCAACTATTATTTTACAATTAATTAATTAAATACACTTTTAAACTTAATTGGCAAAATAATAATTGTACAGTTAATCTTTTCTGAGTAGATTTTTTAATAATAAAAATTGTCATGTAAATGTGACCAGAATACTGATAATATTTTAGTAAATTTAGTAAATCATTAAATAATATACACTGAAATTGAGACTAGATAAAAGTAGTTGGTGAAATAAGCAATTTTGTTTTTTAAAATAAAATAAAATACTAATCGTTATAATGGTAAACCATAGTCCAATAATATACTAAAATATAAAATAATGTTTTATTGGATTAAAAATTTAAAAAAGTTTCAGAAACATGAGAAAAATAAATAATTTTTTTTTTAAGCATTATGCTAATATTTTGACATGAATAAACATTATTCTTAATAGTTATTTACAGAAAACAAATCTTCACTAACTTGATTTAGCATCAAATTCTGACCAAGCGTTGTTCAGTTCTACAAAAATTAGTTTTGCAATGTTTTCATTGCAAGTTCCAGTTTGCTAGAACAATGAGTAAAAATTTATCAACCCCTTTATTTTTATTGATAATAATTGGTTGAGCCAAATGCTTACCTTATCAGGATGTACAGCAAGACATGCTTTTCTATATGCTTTCTTTACATCAGCATAAGTTACCAGATTACTAAGATTGCAGTTCCACCCAGAGCCTTCCCACAATACTGTATGTAGTGTGCCAAGCAAAGCTCTAATATTTCCTTTTTTTCCTTCAACCCATTCCATAACCTGAGAAAATAAAATATTGTACTAAGAAATATTAATAATCATTTTAATAATGTTTACTTTTAGCTTTTCTGGATCAATTTCTTTAGCCAAATCTACTCGCCGCATTTCATTTATGGTTTTTGGGCCAGGATTAAATTTTGAACTGAATGTATATCCTTGACTCCCTAAAAGATCTTCAAAAATATCTCCACCAGATTTAGGAGGAGCTTTTGTTGTTTCTAGTTCAATTTTTATACCACTATAATTAGGTTCAGCTGGTGTTTTAGTTGACTTCGTAGGGCTACCTAAAATTATAAAATATTAAAATATCAAATAGGTACGTTATATAAGAATAAAATAACTTGTTTGTGAATGGCTTGTGAAATTCATCCAATTATCAGTTTTTAAAAAATCAAAATCATCAACATTAGACTTTGTAGAAGTAAAACTGCCATTTGAAATGCCTCTTCCGTTTACAGCTGTAATATTTAAAAAAATATAGAAAACTAAAATCTTACAAATTCTCAAAAATGGCAACTACTCACAATTAGGCATTGTAATGTCTTGAGGAACTGACTGGTTAAGCCAAGAATTATTTGTTTTATGAATGCTAGAGTCATTTAAATTTAACAAATCACCATCCTGTTTTAATAAATAAATATATAAATAAAAAAAATATATGTACTTCTAAATAAATTTGTATTAAAATTGTTGTGTTTACATTTAAATTTGTTTTTGAAACAAATGGATCAAATAAAATATCATTGCTTGTATTTGAAGCATTTACAAATCCTCCAAATAAGTCTTTAGATTCAGTCTTCTCAGACTCAGATCCTAATAAATCAAATAAATTATCTGATTTCAATGTATCTGGTTCATCGTCTATTGAAATTGACGATAAATTTAATAATAGACCTTCGTTAGGTTTATTTAATTGAATTTCAACCTTTGGAGGTAATTGTGGTCTTGGAGGCGCTACTCGAGTAGGAACATTTGCTGGTTCCTAAAAGTACAAAAGTTATGATATTTGTTATGGATAATTGACATTTTTATACTTTTGGCTGAACAACAGGTGATGTCTTATTTTTTTTACTCTCCAGAAGAAATAAATCTTGAAACTGAGCATTCTCAATGGAAGTTGAGAACAGTAAATCAGGTTTCTTACTATTATCTCTGGTTTTGTATTGTAATGATATTCCATTTTTGTGTTGTTCTATTTCAATTTTTACATGAAACATATTACTTTGATAGTGTTCAGAACTTGCTAGGAAATCTAATTCACTCCTGAAATAAAAATGCATTGTATTTTTAGTTAAGCTTAAGTTTTAAATTTTCATATGGAATTATATCAGAACATTATACTAACTTAGTAAAATCTATTACAATATCTTCACCATCAGGGAATATTAAAAAATCAGAATGGAATTGTAATTGAAGTATTTTAATTGGCACTGTTCGCCCAAGAACTTGTCTAGAATGGTATACAATAATTGTGATGTCATTTCGAATTCCAGCAGGTAATGATTTCAAGGGAAGTGATACCTATAAAAGATAATTTTTTTTTTTTTTTATACATATATATTATATCACATGATAAATTAATAATTACTTTTCCATGGGAAATATCATACAAAGTTAATCGCTCATATTCCTGTTCTGTAGTTAAAATTTTATTGTAACCTTCAAAAATTTCTATAAATGGACGACAGCCATCACTAAATCAATTACAAAAAATGTATTCAAAATAAATATAATTTAAATATTTGAGTTTAGTTACACAATATATTGTATTATATATACCTATATATTAAAACAAATATATTCATACCGATTTTTATTAAAAAGAGGAACTGGCTCCATAATGATTCTTCTTATATTAATTGAGTCAATATTATGTGTGTGCTCGGTCGCTATATAATTTAAATACCTATTAAAAGTAAATTATTTTCATAAATCATAACAGCAATAAAATAATCAAGTATTTGACAACTCACTATGTTTTCTAACATAGTAAATGATAGTGTACTATGTGCATTAAGTTTTAAATTACCTATTTTCTGAGGGCTGGAAAACAGGTGCAGACTTTTTAACAGCATATATTGTACAGGCATTTTCAGCAGTATCTGATGCATTTGTATACAATAAAAATGCACAAACTATTAATGCAGAAGTACCAGAGTTTTCCTACAACCAAAACATTGTAATTAAAACATAAATAAAATGAAAAAGTTTAAAAAATATATTACAGTTGATTGAACAATGATACAAAGATTTGTGGAATTTTTTGTCAGAAAATTATACATGTCATCGCAAACTGCATAAATTTCATGTAAAGTAGGACATGTTATTGTTTTTGGATGAACTTCTATCACCTTAACATTAAAAAAAAAACAAAATTAAGGATACTAAATTTTCACCAATATCAAACTAATATACATTGACATACAATTGAACGTCCAATGGTACGAGGATATGATTGCCCAGTCATGTTGTACAATCGGCATTGTCTGGCGTCTAAACACGAAGCAATATTTTCTGAGGTTGCGTCTTGAGTAATGGTTAACACAGCTAATTTTGATGTTATGAACACCATGTCTATACCAGCTTTCACATTGACAGAACTAATTAAAGATTAAAAAGTATAAGGAGTCTGTGAGAGAACAGTTTTCTTATTTTCTCTATTACAATGTATGAGTACTCACGATTGAACTGTTTGCATTACTCTGTTAGATGTATCTTTTAAATTTTTTAAAAAACTTCCTGCTCCACCACGTATTTGAGAAAATAGACCTGAATTAGGCATATTTACTGCTGATTGTCTACAAATCATTTATGTACAAATATTATTATAATTTAAATTATGTAAAACTTATTTATAAATTAAAAATTACTTCGATATGACTGGCTGTTGTGGATTATTAGAAACATTAGGTCCAATAAATTCCATTGGTTTTCCTTCAGATTTCAAATGGTTGATATCTAATGAGTCAATACTAACTTTATACATTTCTTTAATACGCTCAATAAGCTTTAATGATTCAAAAACTGACATTCGTAAGGAAGGATCAGGTTGTAAACATCCCTCTAAAAATAAAAAAATAATATACTAATAATCTTATATTAATTTAAAATAAATTCTACTTACTTATTATAGTGATAAAATCAGAATATGAACTTTCTAATTGTGAAAATGAAAATCTTGCATTTAATATTGCTAGTTTATTGGAATCTTCAAATGGATGCCGATTACAACATAAAGCAAAGCAAATACAACCTAAAGCCCATACATCAACAGCTGTACCAATTTCATAATTAGACCAAGTATCAATCATTTCAGGAGCTCGATACATTGGAGTTGTACATTGATTAAGCTAAAAAAAAAAAAATATATACTTTTTAAATATTCTATATTATACTTTAAAAAAATCTATATTAATAGTATATTATGGCAATATATTATATTATATAATAAGTATATTATTTATTAACATAATACTTTATCTTTGTGTATTTAAAAATAATTTATGTCTACTGCATGTTTGTATTCAATGACATATTTACAAAAAAAAATTAGGGAAATAAATATAAAATAAAGTCCCTTGATCTTCCATTTTTAGCTAATATTTATGTGGTTTTAGTCGTCTAATTTCCATTTATCACTTTATTAATAACATAATAAAATGTTAGGACGTTTAGCATCAATCATTTTAGTTATATCTCTACCCCTCAAAAAATCCTAAATATACCACTATTTGTATTAAAAAGAGTTTATCTGCAGAAATTAAATAAATCAATAATACATTTATACTACAACTATTGTTCAGAAAAAAATATTTTAATTGTATTTAAATATACTTAAGTATTTGTTCATAAAATTATTAATATAATTATAATTTACTTTATCTTCTAAGACGGCTCGTTGCTGTGATGTCCAATTTTCATCTGGTTTGTAAACTTTTGTTGTACAACTTCCAAAGTCACATAATTTAATTTTACCATCATCACTGATCAAAAAATTTTCAATCTAATAATTATAAATGAAAAAAAAAATTATTTAACAATTATAATCACATAGACTTTGAAATTATTGATAAATGTAAAACTGTAGAATTAAATTAATTCAAATAAATAATAGATAATAGAAAATCAAAAGGCAACATTTTTTAGACTAAGCATAGCATAAGTAAATAGATAAATTAACCAATGAAAATAGCAATATTAAAAATAATTCAATGAAACAATTTAAATTAGAGACAACTAGTATTGTTAAAAACATTAAGATTATAAAACCAATGTTTGGGATAAATACTGTAAATGACTCAGATATAGTTGCTATTTAGATTCTGACAATCAATCAGATTTAATTAAATACTTGGGTTAAATAAAAAAAGGTTTATGGCATCAGAGTCAGAACATTAGGAGTTTTTTTAAAATTATTTGGTTATTGAAGTTTGCCATAAAACACAGACCTTTAAATCTCTATGAATGAGAGGTGGGCTTTGACAGTGCATATGTCGTGTGGCTGAACACATTTGGTAAAATACTGAAGTGACAATGTTCCTATGTAAAGGTTTTTCTCTAGCTGATAATAACTCTGCAACATTTCCTCCTAAACAATTATTAATAATATATTTTAGTAACAACAAAGTAGATGTTATACGTAATACTAACCTGGACAATATTCTGTAAGAATAAGATACTCATTTGATCCTCGAGGTGAATCAATTTTATTAGTAAATGCTGCTGACATAAAATGTATTATGTTTGGATGACCACATAATTTTTTCTAAACAGTTAAATTGTAAATTATACTTATGCACAAATTAAAACATTTATCAAATGCAATATTCTTACAAGTACATCAATTTCATTAAGAATAACTTTATCAGCAGCATCATCTACAGCAAGCAATTTCTAAAAAATAAATCTAGTATTATTCACTTATCACTAACCTAAATACTATAATAATAAATTATAGAATTAAAAATTATTAAGAAAAATTAAGTCATAAAACTATACCAAAATCAATTTTTTAAATACATTAAATTATGCATTTTAGTTATATAAATATTAATAAAACCGCCTCCCAATAATATTTCCTACATGTAAGTTATCATCAACAATCAAGAAAATAAAACATTATCTCACCTTTAACGCATATTCTTTACCAGTATCTTGAGCCTGGGCAACAAACACCATACCTGATCCACCTAAACAATATTACAAAATATTAAAGAAAATGTATAATCAACTGGAATAGCTGAACAAATTTGGTTCATACTACCTTCGGCAATAAGTCTTTTTATCTTTAGCTTAACATTGCCCAATTCTATATTAGAACCGACATAATCATTGTTTTCGACAGAAAAACTACTACTAAAGTAGTCTAAAGCAGACTTTAAAATATCAGACATATTCAACAAATAATTAAAAATATTACCGATATCAAATTATATCTAACTATATTAAATATTCAAAACTAATTCATAGTAAACAAAATGAATTGTACCCAATTTCAAACGTGAACGGTATAATATTTACAATTAATACAATAACAATTAACAGCTAATGAGTAACGAAAAAAGTAAAACATGATTAAAATATAATTTTAATAATTTGTAATAAATATGTTTCCTGTAGGTAGTATTTATTTATAAAAAACTTGTTTTTTCTTCCGAGTTTTGTTTTCTTGTTTTTTTTTTCTTGATAGTGTTATCCTTATCAATGGTTTTCTTTGTTTTCGACTACCTAGGTTTTTAAAAACTCAAGATTATAGTCATTTTCCTTGTAGAATGTAGATTCGCATATCCGCCATAACTCATAAGCACGATTTAAGTTAGCTATATTTTTAACATAAATCTATTTATTCTATTTAATCGTAATCACAACTTGCTATAATCCAGTCCAGAGTCTTAGAATATTTTCCTATAACCCATGGTCAAACTCGTAATATTTTATTTTATGTCTATGGGTCATAACGTAGGAACAACTACAGATACACAATAAGTTAATAATCGAGGTAACGTATTCGGTCGATTCGAACATCATTTTAGTAAACAAAATGTTTATGTGAGATTTAGCACGTAATCCAAATTATATTATACCTATATACTTATCTATGATCCAAATAATAAATAATTATGATTTCATCTTCATAACAGTATTTTTGTGATTGTCTTTAAACGTTAAAATTGAATTTAAAATTGTACATATTTTTTTTTATCTAGCGTCTTTTTCAATTTGTTTGCCAGATCTACCCTACATTTTACGGGATATAATGGCTGAGTGGAACGAAAGTCAGTTACGAAAATATAACATAAAAATGGAAAAAATACCTACCCTACAGTATGATGATCCAAAAGTAGATTCTCTTCTAATAAATAATGTAAGGAATCAAATGTAATAATTTAATTGCAAGTCCTAAGTGATGTATTTTAATATTTAAAAAATGTTATATTCACTGACAAGTTTTATTAACCTTGTATAATGTCACACAATACATAAATATTCTTAAACTTGCATAATGATATATTTATATTGATAGACTTCACCAATATTTATTCTTTGTACTTAACAATTTCAATCAATACATATTTAACTTTATTGGAAATTAGAATTGGGTAGTGGGTACTCATATTTGTTGTTTCTGACATTCTATCATGTATCATAGTAAATACTACACTTAGTGCAAAGTATACATAAGATAAAATACTTTTTTTAAATTTAATTTTAGTTAATTTTCCTTAAAAAATTACATTTTAAAATTAAATTTTTGGAAATTAGAGAATAAAAATCAAAAAAATGATAAATCTCATCTACATTTCACCCTATATTCAAATTTGATAGATACATGAATGAGGGATAACAAATATTGGTGCTTAAACCCCTATACATTACAAATTTATTTATTTGAAATTTATATTATATTTTTAATGAGATATATTTTTTCAAGACATTATTTAATTGTCTTTTATTTATCAATTATTTAGAAACCAGTATTAATCAAAGGATCTAAATTAGTTTCTCGTGTGTTAAAATGGGATTTGGATTATTTAACTGAGCATATTAATTCAACATGCTGTAATGTATTAATATCAAAAAATCATAAATTCAAGTATTATGACCAAAAGAAAATCACCCCTAATATGACATTCAAACCAATCAGTCGGCCAAGTCCTATGATATTTTCAGAATTTGCTAAAAAAATAAAAGATTGGAAAAAAGGAGATTCCAGGTATTTAATACTTTATAAATAAAAAAAAAGATAAATATTTTAGTTTTAAAAATAGTTTAATAGTTTTATATGGTATAATTAGAATAAGTTATATTTAAGAATTAATTTTAAAATAGTGTTATATAAATAAAATTATACATTTATTAAAATAAATAAATAATATTACAAGAAATTTTAAAATTTACACAATAGAAAATGATTACACAATAGTTTTGTATGTATGTTATTAATCTTCTTAAAATCTTATTCATTATACATGTACAAGAATACAATTTAACAAATAAATTAACATACACAAATTTATTGATACTTTGTAAATCACAACAGGTGTTTGTTGAGGCTGTTAGCTACTTTTGGTTTTTTATTCAATGGTGGTGAAGAAACACATGGACTGTACATATTATGGTTATAAATATATTCTACCTAAAATTTTATTTGAATTAGTAAGTATATATGAAAAACTGAAAAATATAATTATTATATGGTTAACCAAAAAATCAATAGGATCCTCAGGTGTATTTTTCATAATTTCCATTATTCCATTTATCAATAAAGGATTTACACATTTAATTAGAAAATCTATTATTTTAATATTTTGTAATGAATAATGTTCTTCTTTTTTAATAGTGGGTTCTTTCAACAGTTGAGCTAGCTATATCAACATAATACAACATGAAATAGTCATATTATGTGTACAAATAACAACAATATTAAACAAGGCTATTTAGATTAACAATGTTTTGTATATTTACATTTTTTTCATAAATATCTTCTTCCATTGCTAAATCTTTATTTTCAATTATTGTTGGATTAATGACATACATCTTATTGATCATAGCTTTTATATCACTTCCTTTTTTTTCAGCTTTATTAACTAATTAATGTTCATTATTTAAATTTATAATTAAATAATATAAAACTTATAATCCTGACCTTTTAATTTTACTGGCATGTTTATTAAAAGTGAATCAAACAATTTATCAAATTCTTGTTGATTAACAAATATGCAGTTACTTTGAGTTATTAATAAATACTTTTTATACATTTTTGGTTTAAACAAAACTTCTAAGTAATCAACTAAATTACGATTTTTCCTTATTTCTATGTTACTAAAAACATTCATTATCAAGACATTTATCTTAACTTAGTAGTAGTATAAGTATACGTTTATTATTCTTACTCATTTTCCAAAATATGTTTCATAATTTCATTTTCTGTGTATTTAGAATCTAGCGAGGGCCAAGCAAGTAATTTATCTATTGCATCATCACACACTAGTTTTGAATTTAAATTTGGTTGTTCTATTTCCGAGTTATATATGATTTTCCTCATAATATTTTTTCCAACCATAATTAAATCAATGATGATTGCTAAATTTATTTAAGACTTAATTTTTTTTTTGTATTTAATATAATTTTATAATTAATACTTGGATATATTTCATCTTCATCTATTTGTAAATCATTTTCTTTATTGAATTCAAATTGCTTCAAATTAAAAAGATTTTGAGCTTGTTCAATATTTTCAAGAAAATTACCAATTATATAACCACATTTATTCACTTTATTTCTTAATATCTTATTTTTTATAAGCCTATAGAAATTATAACAATTAAACTTTTATATTTTGTTTAATATTTGTTATAGATTAATTAAACATATAGATAAATTAGGTTTAACTTACGGTATTAAATATTTATCGGAAATTCTACCATATTCTTTAAAATGTTTTTTTTGTTCTTCCAGTAATTGTTTATTACTGGGTGTCGGTAGATTATCTGATTTTTTTTCTTTAAATTCATTACTAGACTCATTATTTTCAATATCTGATTTTTGCTGTGATAAAAATATTGAGACTGTTTGATTATTATTACTCAAATTTTGTAACCAATATAAATCAATATCATAAACACTATTTTCCTAAAATTGATAAATAAAATAAATAATTAAATATTAATAATATTTGTAAAAGTAAAACTTCAAATTTTTTTTAAATTTTACTAATATATTGAACAATTCTTCACTGATTGTTACTAGATTGACAAAGTAAAGATTATATGTATGTGCTATATTTTTGGCAAAATTAGTAATTTCAAGTGGTCCATTGATGATAATGTTTTTCTTCTAAAAATAAATATATATTTTTGATTGTAGTCTTTATATATTAAATATTCATACTAAGTTGATTTTTTCTATTCAAGTATTTAAACTATGGTTAAATTAAGTTTATATACTTTAATAGAATAAAGTATAGATCTTAGGAGAAGTTATTGAAATAAATTGCCTTAAGTTTGTTTTTTCCACAGATTGAACTATGACTTATCAATAATTATCTTTTGAATTTACTTACACTAGAATATTTGTTGTGATATTCAGAGATTAATGTTTTGGTTTCAGTAAAAATCCGAGGAATAGATCTGTCTAATCCCATAAACTGTGTTATATAATTATCAATAACAGGAATTATTTTAATAGACATAGTTATCATGTCATAGACGGTTTGCTATAAAAAAAAAAAAATAATAATAAATATTTTACAGATCTTAAAATGTTATTTTTTAAATAGCTAGTAAATTTAGAAATCTTTAAATGTTTAATCACTAAAGTTAGATATTTCTTATACCAAAAATGATCAAAATATGCATACAAATGTGTTGTTAAAAAATTCTAAATTTATATAAATATTGTTTTTACTGCATATATGTAAATACTAATTGTTGTATAATTTTAATCCGTTTTTGTTTACACTACTTTGCTGTTAATATTTTTCTGCTCTTTTAATATAATAAAATATTAAAATAATATTTTTTGTTTAAATTAGTTACTTCACAAAAACAACTTATATCTTACTTAATGCATTTTACATGTATTAGAAAAAAATATGGAAATACAAGAAATTATCACATTTAATTACAGATTTATCGATAAAACTTATTTTTGTGGAATAAACTTACAGTAACTCTTGAATTTAGGCATAAACTTATGTAATCACAGTAAACATAATTTTTCTTTTGAGTTTGCTTTATAATACACTTGGTTATACTTCTTAAACTAATCTTAGCAGTTTCAATGCCTACTATGTATGGTTTTGTCACTTTATCATAAAACACAACCAGATTTTTAACAATTCTAGAATGTATAATTTGTATAAAAATAATTTAAATTATTTTAAAAGCTATGTTTAACTTTGCAAGATTTTCTACGTGTATTATAGGTAAATTATTGTCTTCTTTTGGAACTAATAGTTGTTCTGTATCACTAAAAACCATTTTATATATGTATTTTAATATGTGCTCGCCTTGACCATAGACTAAACCAGGTGCTAAGATTATTCCATAAAAATATCCACTGTACTGTAAAATATAAATTAAATAATATGTCTATGAAATATTTTATTAAATACTTGGGTCTTTTTTGTATACTTTATCATTTAGTAATAATATACTATTTTCCATATCATAAAATGATTGAAAATTTGGATGACAAATACGATCCTTATAATCATCTTGAGTAATTGGGCCTGTATTCTTTTTAAATAAATAAAAGAAGGTGTAATTATTTATATTTTTTCAGTATAAAACATGATTACTTTGTTTTTAGTTAAAGCCCATGTTTGTATACTTGATATAAGTATAAAAACTCTAATCCCACTTTGTTTTGCTACAATACTTTTTGGATGACATTTTACATATTTAATTTCTTCTATTATATCTTGATAAGAAAACAAATATTTTAGAGACAAATTTAATTTAATAATATTTGAATAATTTATTTTACTATGTAATGCTATACTAGCTTCAGTTATTTGATTTTTATCCAATGATATGTCATACACAACTACTGCACATTTTTGTATTTCTTTCATTAATAATTGTTTATTATTTGAAATAATTATTTTTTTCACATGTTTCAAGTAATCATACTAAAACGAAAATTGGTTATTTTTTTGCAAAAAATGTTATTAAAATTCTGTTCATACTCTTTCATTATTGGTGTTCGATTTATCTTTTACTGTAGTTACTATATCATATTTGTTCGGTTCAATATCTTCCTTATTTATTTTTATTGTAGGTTTATGTATATTATACATTGGTAAAACGTCTATGTTTTTTATGTATTTAAATTGTATTGGTGGAGTATCATTATCCACTTCTTCATTAATATATTCTTTGTTCAAAATTTTGTTTACTTGAAGATCTCTATCAACAGACACTGGTTTAACATTGTCAATTGATTTATTTAATATCGAATTTTGACTTTTTTGTGTGTCTTGATAACTATTTTTTAACTCTTGTTCTTTATATTTCTCATTTGATATTTTTTTTTCAGTTAGTTCAGTATCTACATTTATGTACTCAATGTCTGTAAACTGTACTTGATTGATTTCCTATAAATAAACTTAATATGAAATATATAACTATTCTTAAACATTTTAGATTTAAACTGAAATTATTTTTTAACCCTCATTACATTTATATACTATTTGTATTAATAAGAATACAATTTTGATACATGTTCAGTATGTGTTAAACATTAAGATAAATAGGTATAATAATATTTTGTTGAAAAGGTATGCTATTTATGATCTATAATTATCTTATCAATATAATATTATTAATATTTGGTATTTGGTTACTGTATTTTGATTCAGTTAATGTTAACATTTAAGTTAAATAAAATATTTTACATTTTTTCCCATTCCAGTTGAATATTATACTATTATAGTTTACCGATAATAGTGATGATCAAACATATCAACATGGCATATATTTGATACCAATATCATTTTAGAATTATTTAATATTAATATTTATAATTTAAGAAGATAATGCAATTGTAAATTAATTTTTTTATCATTGTTATTATTATTATTATTATTGTTTTTAAATTTTAATAACTATAAATTTATTCTTATTTATTAACTATTAGCATGAAGGAAACAATTTTATTAAGTTTAGATTGCCGTTTTTGTTTTTTTTTTATATTTAATTGCCGCTTTAGCATCCTGAGGGAGATTTACAAATATGGAGGTAGATTGTAGTTTTTAAACAAGGGGATTATTATGATTTTGAATTTAGAGTAATGTACCTAACTTGACTGTTTTAGGAACTATAAGAATATGGAGATCTGATGCGATTTGAGATGAATTAGGGAGAAGCAAGTGGGCATTAAATGAATTTATGTGGTTTATTTTCTGAATTTATCTTATCATAAATATTTGCTTGCAGATTTACTGCTAAAGCTAAATTAGTTTACTTGTATTATGTATTTTCCATGATAAGAATCACCATTGTTTATAAATACCCTGTTTGCAGCATACTTAATTTGAGCTTCTAAATTAGAAATTCTATTATTTTCTTGGATGATATGAACTTTTTTTTTAGATGCTTTAAAACCAAATAAATCATTTTTTTCTTCAAACCTTGATAAAAAAATATTGTTGATAATTTCATCTTCATCTTCATCAATCATATTTTATTTTATTAAAAATTAACAAAACTATAAATAAATAATATGTGAATTAATTAAAACTTTGTTATGTAATTTTATTTCTATAGAAACACCAATGAATTAAAAATAAATAATTATGCATAATATAATGTTTAAAACTATTATATCAAATAAAAAAGTATAATATTTATATTGTGGTTTTCCAGATTATACATGCAACAAGTATTGAACAACTCAATTAGCCCACGTATTGTTAGTGATTTTGTTATGTTCAATTGGGATTGGATTATTTCAAAACAAAATGTGTGTAAATGGGGTTCTCTGACTTCTAATCTTCTTCTAATTGCACAAGAAGGTATTACTTAATTCTATTAGTCAATAACGTATTTTAGTATAATGTATTTAATTTAGTATCAAGTCCTCTCAAATAACTTTGGTTGTAATTTTTTTGAATTCTAATTATTTTATAGTATAGCATATTCAGTGGAGAGTTTTACTTGTTATTTTTTATCAGAATTTCCGATTATATCTTTCTATTTGCTCAAACTATGTTTCTTATAATAATTATTTTATAGAATTTAATTATTTTGATATAAATAAAACTTTAGTAAGGTTTCCAATATTTTGATAATATAAAAATTGTAAATGGATAAAAATATGCATTAATGTTTAATTAATGTATATTTAACTCGATTAATTTAATTCAGTACTGTTTGGTTTAAATACAATAATACAATTGATAATAGAAATTAATTGTAATGTTTTTTGTTGTAGGTAATGTTACTCCGTGTCATTATGATGAGCAACAAAATATGTTTGCTAGCATTCGAGGATATAAAAGATTTATTTTGTTTCCACCTAGTGAATTTGAGTGTTTATATCCACACCCAGTTCATCATCCTTATGATAGACAAAGTCAAGTAATGATAAATAATTTCTTAGAAAATAATACTTCTATAGCTTGTTTTGGTATTTTTTAGGTAGACTTTGATAATCCAGATTATATAAAATTTCCAAAATTCAAAGAAGCTTGTGGATATGAAGTTATAGTTGGACCTGAAGATGTCTTATATATACCTATGTATTGGTTTCATCATGTTGAATCACTGATGCATGGTGGCTATACAGTTTCAATAAACTTTTGGTTCAAAGTAAATTAATTTAATTTAAATTAATGTTAAGAACGCTAATATGTGAAATATAGGAACATAACGATTAATAGGTAGAAATAGGGTGTTAGTAGAAGTATTAAATAATTAAAAGGTGAATTTTTTATTTTTCATTGTGTTCAGAATCTATACTAAAAGGAAGCAAATAAATCTTTGTGTAGAGGTTTTAGGTAATTTACAAAGTGTATCAGGGTTAAGCATTAACCTAAACTAATCTTTATTAATAGATGGTATTATAAAAAATATTCTAGATGGAAGTGCCATGATGCATTATGTTTGTAGATAATGTAGTATTAGTATGAAAAATTTTAAAAGAAATGAATGAAAGACTGGACAAGTGAATAGAGGTGTTTAAAAGAAATGGACTATAGATTAGCTGGAATAAAATATAGGTATGATCAATGAATCTTGTATGATTCTTGAGGAAGTTATCGAAGAATTAATATCCCCTAACAATTCCTTGATCAGGCATGTTATGAAAATGAGGGATAATATAATGCGACTAGATTTAAGTACTTGGAATCAATAGCCCAAAAATAATTATTTAGGATATCAACAATATAATTAAGTCGAGAGAAGTGTTGTATCAAATGTTTTATGCAAAAAGAGAATTCCAATAAAATTGAAAAAAGTAAATTTTCTTTACAATTGTGAAATTAGTTATATTACATAGATTAAAATATAGGATAATGTACAAGAACACAGACACCTGTAAATGAGTGTAGTAGAGATGAGAATGCTAGGATAAATATTAAATATGTGTAGTGACAATAAAACCTAAAATATGAAATTAATACATTAAGGTTAGTGTCGGAGCTGCATAAATATTATGTATAAAATCATTATGAGGTAAAATAGATTGAGATGTTTTAACATATTTGAACTTATAAGGAAAATTAAAAGACATTGAAAGTTATCGTTAAGATGAATGTGGAATGATAGAGAGGAAGATTGAAGAAAAGATGGATAGATTGAAAAGAGTGATGTGAAAATAATTGGTGAAAAATTACGAGAAGCAGGAAATTGTACCTTATGAAGTTATTGAATGAGAATGACTGATTTGATATGGCCAAATTTTTGAAGTTATAGTAAGGTAAAATAATAATAATAATAGTTATTATTATTATTCAGTACGAAATAATCATAAATTTTCTTTTTTAGGCAGGCTCTGTTGAAAAAATTGAGTATCCTTTACTAGACCACCAAAAAATGGTTATCATGAGAAATGTAGAAAAAATGTTAGCTGAAGCATTACATGATCCAAGTGAAGTTGGGACTATGTTGAAGACGATTGTTTTAGGCCGATACACATCTGACACTAACTTATAGTTCCCCTTAAAATATGTTTATTATTTAAAAAAAATCTAATAGAATAATATTGATTCAAACAATATTATTATTTAATATTTTTAGTTTATATAGAACAAGAGAAATTATAACATTTTCTTTTCTCATTTCCCTATTTTTTTGTATTCATATATTTAATTTTTTTTAAAGAATTTTTAGTAGTTATTTAAAATTAATTTATGTCCTGATATAAGTTATTAGGCTTTAATAGTCATAAACAGACACTACTAAATGTATTTTTTTTATAAATAAACCTTAGATGATTTTGCCCAGGCAGTTACTATTTCCTATACGATTCTTTTAAATTTTAGTTTAAATTCAAATGAAATCAACAAATTATGGTGCTGCTTCTCTATGTTTTATTTTTGTTTGCTAATTTACTATGAATAGTATTTCCTATAATTCTATCTAGTGTACATGATAAATCTATTTTCAAAATATGTTAAACTTAAGTCATATTTACTAGTCATCAATACACTATTATGATCACAGTAATTATTTTAATTTTATTGTATTTATATGATAGTATGAATAGTTCAAATTTACATTATCTACAACTGTGAACCCTATATAGAAATCATAACCTTAAAATGTAATACTAATATAAATACATTTTGTACATAGTTTATATATAAACATATATTTTAAAAATGATATCAAGGCTGATCTTAAAAAATAACTATACAAGCTTAATATATAAATAATGATTTAATGAAATATACTATTTACTGTTAGAGTAAAAAAGTTATATTTATTTTTGTAATTAATTTATTATTATTATATTGTTTTTTTTTTTCAAATTCTTCTAATTTTCATTTTTTTTTTTTTTTCATGTTGATATTGAATATTATTATTTTATGAAATTATAATATTATTGAACTTGTATTGACCATAAATATATAAAATGAAGTTCTATAATTTAATTCTATGCAATTTCTTATTTTAAGATAGTATTAAACTTTTTATTGACTTGTGTATGTTATTTAACATCTAAAATTATTGCTTGTTCATAATTTAAGCTATTATGTTTAGTTCCTATAATATATTGAAACATCATTTTTAGCTTAATTTTTAGTAAAATATAATTTCATTGTGATTTTAATACTATTTTATTTGTATTTATTTTGCTGTGCTAGTCTTATTGTAATACTTAAACTTATTAATCAAATTAAATTATTTTTTTAAATACTTATTTTTGTTTGTTACTAATTTTAAATTTTATTCATATCTGTATTAATAAAGTATGTACTAAAGACTGGTCCTCCATCAAGAGCCTCTTCCAATCTTAGTATGATGTGAAAAATAGGTAAATAAAGAAAACACATACTTTTATATTTATTTGTAACTTTATATAATAATACATTTATTGACGATTAATTTGCCATTATTTATTGTGATTTGGATTAAAGCAACATTTTGATACTAACTTTATAAAAATTTATACAAACTAAAAAAGTTGGAATAAAATACAATGGATGTTCTGAATAAATTTAAATAAAGGTTTTAATAGGAGGTATAGTTACATATCTTTAACATGTTATAATAGAAAAAAAGCTTTAATATACATCTTGTCTACATATAAAGCCCATTCTTTACTCTGCAGTCACTAAAACCATCTGGATTTCTTTCTTAAGGTTTAGTGATTTTTAGTAAAGTATTTATATTTGGAAAATTACTAGGGAGAGATTAAGAGAACATATTTTGGATCATTTTTGAATAATTAAATGAATTATTAATTTATTACGGAAATGTTTACAATGAATTTTTGCATGTTCATTTACTGTGGATATCTATTTTAATTTTTAAGATCCTTGTGCAAGAATTTGTTTGTAATAAGCCAAAGAACTCCAGATGTAAGTCTAAGATTAATAGACTAAAAAACTTGGATAGGATGTATGTTAGATGATTTTGTTGGATCCCAAATTTGTATGCCATATGACCAGACCATCGACTGATCTAACTGTGACTTTACTTACAATAGTTTTAAACTTGAGTTGCATTTTAGATTTAAGAAGACAGAAGGGGTCTAAGAAAATAGTCGTGTATTTGCCTGTTTACGTTCGACTTTAGCATAGTAGGCCCGTGTGAGGCGCTTATCGAGAATTATTCCTAAGTATTTACTATTTAGTTGAGGGCAGGATTAGGATTGGATGATTGGTTTGTTGTTTATTTGGAGTTAAACACATTCATTTTGATTTAAAGAGAAGTTAACTTGGACTGATTTCTCTTCATTGATATTTATTTTCAAATTTTTTGCCCAAGAATTTATTTTAGTTAGACGAGTCTAAAGGGTATTGACTCGCAGTCAATAACAGATCTTTTTCTGTTGCTAAAACCATATTATCGTCTGTAAATGTGGCCAGTAGGGTTTTATTTGAAGTTGGTATATCAGATGTGAATACATTATGTAGAATAGGTGAAAAGTATTGGGACTCCTACTTTTATTGGTTAAGTGTTAAGAAAGTTTAAAAGACGTAAAAAAAAATGGCAGTTTTCCAAATATGATTTTAAAATTAAATAGTAGGTAGTAGGAAGAAATGATTCAACTTGTAGAGTTAACCTTCGAGCCACATACGATAGAAAGCTTGAACAATATCTAGAAATACTTCAGAATAGCATTGTTAGTTTTCTAAAGAAGTGGCAATTTTGCTTGTGATTCAGTGGATTTGATGAATTGTAATGAGAACATAAGTCAAATTAAAATTTTTGGAATTATATTTTTTCTTAAAGTATATCTTTAATTTAATTATTTTGGAAGTATATCTTTTAAGTTTTATTGTATAAAAAAATCGTTTCTAATAACATTTACAAACCTTCAGATAATCGTTTATAACATCAAAGTTAAACCTCCAAGAATCGGTTATTAACATTATCATTTATCAACTATTAAGCAGAGTATCGCTTCTGATCTGAAGAGATGGAGACATGTAATAACTATTAACTAGATAATTTTATAACTTTTATTTATTAAGCACTGCAAATAATTATTAATTACCGTCAGTTATAAACATTTTCTGTGGCAATGTGTAGCGTTAACGAAGAAGGTGCAGAAGTCTTCGAAACACTTAACCATATTGAACCGTAAGACTTAATAGTATACTCATTATTTTGACAATTTGATATTAAATCATCGTTTTTATAAATTAAAAATTTCAACTAAAGTTTATATTTTTGATCCGTTTTTTTACACAGATTAGAATTAAAATGTCGTAAATGTCTAATTAAAGACGGAAATGTTGTTTTACAAAAAAAATATGTGTATTGCAAGTGAGTAGACATTATTCAACTATTAACTTCTTTAATTAACAATAATTTGTATCATAGGACTTGTTTTGTGACTATGGTAACTCATAAATTTCGTGCTACCCTTGGAAAATCAAAATTAGTTAACAGAGGTGAACGTGTTCTGGTATGTGTAAGTGGCTCCCAATCTTCAGTATCTTTACTGCATATGGTATGGACAGGACTACAGCAATCTACTTATAAGAGATTAACATTTGATCCTGTAGTATTATACATTGATGGTAATAACATGGTTAATTTAAAAAAATTAAATTAAATTAATTAATTTTAAACCATTTTAGAAAGTGTTTTACACAAGTACCCCCAAGATCAAGAGAATAATATTAAAGAACTTTTTGAAAAATATGGTTTAACTTATCACATAGTAAAGTTTGCTGCTGCTGTTTACTCAGATAATTGTTTAAATGAAGAAACACATGTCGACCTATATAATGATAAACTTCAAAATATTTTTAATAATATATCTGACCTTACATTAAAAGAAGATATGTTAATGAAACTTCGGTAACTGTCATATATATATATATATATATATATATATATATATATATATAATATTGATACCTATTTTTATTTTTTTTAAATTTTTAGCAAATATGCAATAACAAAATTAGCTGAACTATTAAAATGTACCCGAATAATGACGGCAGAAAATGAACATAAATTGTCTATTCAATTACTTTCAAATGTAGCTCTAGGACGTGGATCTCAAACATTTTTGGACATGGTAAATACAAACACTTATAATTTTTACATTTATTTTAATATCAACATTATTTCCAATATACTTACTATTGGTACAAACTTTCTACAATTTGTAATTCCAAAAACCAGACTAAATTTCAGTGACCAAGAGTATTAGATTTTTAAAGTTTTCTTAAAATAATGATTTTCAAGACACTATCTTTATTGTAATACATAAAATTTAATTTATATTTATTATTTTGTTAATTTAATATTTAAAAAGTAGAAAATACATACACATTTTTTCAAAAATAAAATCATGATTTGCAAATATTTGTTAACAAATAAACTTAATTCAATTTGGTACATTTTTTAAATTTAATTTGACTTCCAGTGCTTTAAATTTAAAGAATACTTTTTACTTTTAATAAATGTATGTTTAGAAACTTTAAGCTAGATATCAGCCTTAATGAACTCTATCACAGATCTACTACAATTTACTATGAGTTAATTATTATTTTTATACATCAGATTAGATGTTTATGTATTTTTTTTTTTTTTTTTTTTTTTAATAGTTTATTAAGGCTTCAACAACACAGGTTTTTAGCCTACTTTAATTAAAATTTATACAAGAAAAAGAAAGAAAGAAAAATATATATATGTATACATTAAGTTTTACAATAAATTTTACTACATTATTATAGTTACTATTTACAATGGGTGTTTAGTGTTTATATTATGGATAAATGTACTGATTGCAGCTGTGTTCTCATCTTTGAAGGCTTGATAGAGTGATGCTGGATTTTGGAGTATCTTGCGTGCTTCAGTGTATTTGGGGCAGATGATTACGATATGTTCAATTGATAGAGTTACGTTGCAAGTATCACATATGGGTGCTGGTTCTTTTTTGATGAGATGTACATGTGTTAAGTAAGAATGGCCTATTTTGGCTCGAGTGACTGTTACTTCGTCTTTTCTTTTTGTGCCGGGAGGGTAATTTAGTTTCTTGACGAGTAGTTTTGTATTTCTCAGTTTGTTGGTAAGGGGAATATTTTCCCAAAAAAGTTGCCATTCTTCCATTATTTTTTGGTGGATTGTGCCGAATATTTCAGATGAGGAAGTAGAGCTGATTTTAGTGGACTGTGGAGATGTAATGGCTTCATAGGCTGATGTGTCTGCTTTTTCATTCCCGGGTATCCCAATGTGTGAAGGGACCCACATGAAACATGTGGGGATGTTTATTTCAGATATTAATTTCTGTATGTGTTGAATAAGTTCATTTTTAGGGTAGGGGTTAGAAATTGCAGTAAGAGCACTCAGAGAGTCACTGATAATGATGTGACAGTTTGTTGGGTTTGAAGTTGAGATGATTGATAGTGCTTGGTAAATAGCATGAGTTTCAGCTGTGTATATACTAAAAGACGACGGTAGTTTAAAGAGATGGTTCTCCCAATCTGTGATTACAGAAAAGCCCACCCCATTTTTACTTTTGGAAGCATCTGTGTATAGTCCGGATATTGTTGTGACATTATTTCTGCAAAACGGTTGAGTATGATTCGACTATCTGTATTATGTTTGCAGTATTCTGCCAATTGGGTGTTGATTTTTGGCGACCAGAGCCACGGAGGGAGAGGAGGCTGAATTTTGTTTAGTGATTGTGATTGGAAATCTAAGTTATTACTGATTATTTTGAAGTTTTCGAATACTGTGTTTCGGGAGGGTAGTATATTAGTAGGTAGAGGGCTGTGGATGATGTTTTCAGTGATGTGGTTAGTCAGATTTTTAATTTTAGTCACATATTTTAGTATATGGCTATGGCGTTTATATTGTAGAGGGGGTTCTCCTGCGTAAAAGAGTATGCTATCGACAGGACTCGTCCTGAAGGCTCCAATGGCCAAGCGAATGCCTTGGTTGTGTATAAGATCTAGGGTATTTAGATCTTTTTCTTTTGCTGAGTTGAATATTATGTCTCCATAGTCAATTAATGAGAGTATAAGTGCTTTATAAATTGTGATTACACTAATAGTTCTAGTATTTTTAAGAATAATTAATTTTCTGTTGTATGAAACTACTTTATTTTCTGAAACGTCAAAGCCTGTTACCTAAGACAATATCAAAGTTTATCATAAAAAAAAAATACTACTTAGTTCTTTATATAGTGTTTTAATAAGCATGGCATATTTATATGTTAAAAATTTTAATAGCCCAAACTGTTACTTTTTCAGTTTAAAATAGACTGGAGATTAATAATATTCAATAAATAAAAATTAACTATAAAATAAATACATTTTAAATCTTGAAGTGTTATTACTTCTTGAACATTTGAATAAGACTCCTAAATTACTTTTAATCAGCGAATAAATGTAATGGATAGACAAAATCAGTAATATAATGATAGGTAATTTTAAATTTGAACACTGAAATACAATGCATGGACATTGTTAAGATAATGTTAGTCAAAATAACGGATAGTTTTGTATCATCAGTTAATGTTAGATAAAATCATCAATTTATTTTTCGATACTTTTTCATTTTTATTTGTAATGAGCACTCATTCTAACCATTTATGACAAACTACTGGTTACATTAAAAGAAACAGGCTAATCTTAGTAACTTGTTATAATTTATTTCTACTGTATTCTTTGATTGGTAATAGATAAATTTTTGTGGCAATTTAATTAATAGTTTTAATTATTAACTAGCTGTACATTTTTAAAATTTAAATGTTTATTTTAGGGACTTGCAGTTAATAATAAAAATAATGACAAAACATCTTTAATTACAATACGACCTATGAGGAATTTGTCTGCTAAAGAAATTTCTTATTATGCTTTGTTCAATAATTTAGATGATTTTATACATTCAAATTTCTTAACAGCTGTATGTATATAAAGTCTTTAAATAGTTACATTTATATTGTCTGAAAAAGTGTACTTATATTTCTAAAAATTTTAGACCAATGATGATGAATCAATACAAAAAACAACAGAACGGTTTGTAAATGATTTGCAAGTTGATTTTCCTTCTACTGTGTCTACAATATTTAGAACTGGAGAAAAAATATCTGATAAATCATCAGCTATAGCTTATTGTTTATTATGTCAAGTATGTAGCTTATTCAATTCTATTATATATAATGTATTTATGTAGAATAATGTTCATAGGGTATTATGGATGTTAACATGTCACCTTCTTCAGCTATGGAAGCAACAAAGTATTCAAAATATGTTTCACTTATGGGAGTTAAAGCATTAGAACTTAGTTTAAAAGACGTTAAAAATGAAGAGGCTAATCAAAAAAATTGTAATAGTTGTAAATGTAAAAAACAGGATTTAAAAGAAGAAATTATTGAAAGCTTATGTTATGCGTGTACACATATAATTCAAAACTTAGTAAGGTTTAATTTATTATTTTTTTTAAGATTAAGTATAGGCCTGTTAGTCCAATTATCACAACTACCACTTTTATAGCTCTAATAACTCAAATATAACATGCAAATTCAACAATTTCAGAGTTCTATTTATGTGCTATAAGTATTTAAAATTTAGTTGAATTAACATTTTGTAAGATACCTTTATACTACACCCCTTTCATAAAAGTAAAAAACTTAAAAAATTATTTTGGTAAAAAATATTAGATATAATTTCTTTTTTTTAAATATTGTTTATTTTAACTTTAAGTCATGTAAGAAAAACAAATAATTAGTTATTCATGTTAAGGATTTGCCCTATAAAATGCAATATTGAATAATACGAGGTATAGCATATAGTCTTAAAATTATAATACAAGTTCATACTACTAACAAATTTTTCAGGAATTGTGAAGTTTATCATGATAAATCACAAAAATTCTCCAGTAATTGAGCCCTATATTTGTTTGCAATTCACAAAATAAAAGTAATAAATCTTAGTGAAAATCATACCTTTTCTTTATTGTTCTACTATAGATTTGATCCAGTCATTTAGATTTACTTATCGAGAATCCTACTTGAATACTTTTTCATCTTTGCGAATGGTATAATACAATTTAGTAAGACATTTAACAATACATTGTATTCTGTGTTGAAAAATCATTAATCAGTCTAGTTTTTGTAATCCATTCCCGATAGAATTTAATTATTTTAGGTTATTATTAAATTTAAATTATAACATTGATAGTACATAAAATATATAGTTTAATTTGTAATGTTACAAGATAATTTATGATTAAATGTTATTTTCAGGAATCTTTGGATGACTTACCAAAAGAAATACTTAATAAAGAAAAAGAAAGATTGCAGTTTAAAAAAATGGAAGAACAAATAAAAGATTTTTTGTTGTGAAATTTTAAATACACAATAACTAAGTCTTTTGTACAAAACTTTATTTTTATTTTATAAATTAGGTATTAAAAATATTTATCTTTAAACAAAGCAATAAATCTAAAAGAAATATTATTCTTTAAAATATGTTTACATAGTGTGATAGGATACTGTGTTAGTTAAGGAATAATAATGAACTTGAAGTAATCAAAAATATTTACTTTATTTATCACAGTAATTTCTACGATTTTAATAAGTATTAGATTGGTAATAATACTAATAACTAATTGGTTTTTATAAAGAAAATTGCATTTTAATTTAATAGTATAAACAAAAAGTAATATTTACTTGATTCTAGTATTGTCAGGTATAGGAAATTAATTTATTTGCTTTTATACAATTTTGAATAGTGTGTTAAAGTCAATAAAATAAATTTCAATGTGCAATAAGTAACATTTACCCAGTAAAATAGTTTAAACAAAAAAATTAATTTCATAATACTAAAAAAAAAAAAAAATTAAATAATAAATAATGATTTTTTTTATAAATAATTATATTGCAATATGTATTATATTATATATAATTAAAAGTTATGTAGGAAATTTCAAGTAACCCATGTCCTTTAATTCAATATTATGTAAATATAAGTATAAATTGAAAGTAAAAAATATATATGTCTTACATCTAAAGCTGACAAAGTAAAGAATGTTTAAATTAGACTCTTTGAGCTGGAACGATAGCAGAGTCTGATATCAATTTACAATTAGATGAGATGTGTTGAATGTCTTTTATATTTTTACCAATTTCAGAAATTGTAGGAATCGTCTTTGACTCTACAAGTGCTGAAGCATTTTTAGTTATTAGATCTCTAATACCTTTAAATTGTTTCCTAACTAAATCCATACTTTGATTAGCGTCAACAATCACTACCTAAAACAAAAAGAAAAAAATAATAATAATACATTCAATAAAAATTTAAATATTATGATCAATAAGAATTAGATTCTTTTAATATTTTTAGTTTTTAAAGTGAACTTAATTTTATTAAGATATAAATAACAACAATAATGATGTAAAAAGATTGAAATTGATAAAATAATGCAGTTTTACAATCAAAAGTCCAGTTTGTCTCAATATCTCAGATAAATCAAAGTATTTTATGCTATTTTAAAATAAAGATTATAAAGAATATTCTAATCGAACGCACGCGCCGTTAATGGGTTGAAAAAACTGTCAGTATGTAATAAAATGTTTGTCAAATTAAGTGTAGGAATGATACACAAAATTAATAGAATATACTTTATATTGTAAACTTTTATTACTACCATATCTAAAATTTTGATACATTCACTTACAGGTATATTTTTTGGTATGTTAGTATTATGTACATTTAACCACTTGTCATGTAATTCATGTAAATGTTCTATGTATTCAAATGAAACATCTTTTTCTTCAAACCTATTCCTAGTTTTAATCCTTTGGTAAGCAATTTCAGGATCAGTTCTCAGATAAACTAAAAATAAAATATTAATGTTTAATAATAAAAAAAAAAAAATTGATATTATTCCATACTTATGAGGTCAGATTCAATTTTAACATTTTCTATTAGCCACTTATACCATGCATCTAACACGGAATACTCAGGAGCTGCCATAAGTTTGTCTTTGTATAAGTTTTCAACAAATATGTTTCTGAAATGTAAATATTTTATTTTGTTAATCAAATTATAACTTATTCATCTAATAATTTAACAAAAATATTTTTAAAATAATGTACTTAAAAATTTGTTTCATTGTGTAGTAATTTAGTACTACTTAAAACCATAATAGCAAAAATATAAAATATCACCTATTTTTTTAAAATTATATTTGAATTTTTTCTAAGTAGACATGGCATTTATGTAATTGTAAAATTTAGGGATTAACCAAAATTTGTGATTAGTTGTTAACTAATTTAGTTGACACATGTATATTTTTTTAATTAATTTAAATTTAATTGTTGGCAACTTTTTCTAACTACTAAATCTAATATAGATTGGAACAAAAATATAAGAAATTAACATTAGCTATATTGAAATAAGATAAATGTGGTGCAGTAAGATTAAATTTCCATTACACCATTAATAAAAATCCACAAACACTACTGTGAGAAAAATTAGTTTGTCATTGATTAAAAATTATATGACCTATTCATTACTATTTTGTTGATATTAATATCAACAAATTAAATTTAATTGAAAATGTTAAAAAATGTTGAATTAAGATTTATAAACGACAATACCTAAAAATTATAATTATAGTTAAGCTATTATGAGTAATGACTAGAATTCATATTTTACTATTGTAATTTAATATAATCATTAATTAATATGGAACAATGAGATTTTTATTATTTAATTAAATGACTCAGTAACATTAAAAATCTATCAATTTAAATAAATTATTGTTTGAAAACAATTATTTATGACTCATTTATTGAAATGAGTAAATCATAAAATATGATAAATCATATTGTATTTATATCTAATAGACATGGTCTATTACTTTTAAGACTTTATAGACATTATTAACATAATTTCATGGTAAAATATTGTAAAAAATAATATGCCTTAATAGTTTATTTGTATATTATTAAAATATTTAAAAGATAAATTATTTTTTAAAATTAGAAAAGAAAATATTATTAACTACTGTCTATTTACTATAGATTAAAATAATACTTGAAATAATAAATTATGAGTTTAAACAATAAAATGTAGTATTATTGGACTAGTTAACATGAAATTATTTCCATAATATAATACTAAATATTGGAAAATAATTTGGGTAGATGCAAATCAAAACAAAATTTAAATAGTAGATGTTGGAAATACTAGATTGTTATAATTATAATAGTTGGATATTCTTTAAGGTTAGGAATGTCATGTCTGTGAATACATTAACAACATTAAATTATAATCAAACACATTTGATTGGTTATCAAGTCACTTGAAAACAAAAAAACCGTCATAGCTCCTACTATCAATACATAATAAATATAATCAAACACAAGTCACAACACATGAATAATTTAATATGAATATCTATCGACTAAATTAGATATTTAATTACATAAGGAAATCGAAACTACCACGTAATATTAATATAATATTTTACAAAACCTTATAAAACTGAGTATAATACCAACTGAAAATACCTACTGTAAAAAAATATTAATTAAAAAAAAGTCATCTATACTATCCATTAAACTTGTTAATTCAATTGTCATTATATTTAAACGGATAATGGGTATTACCCTAGAGATGGTCTGCCTACGATAATAATAACAATACAGTATTATTTTAAAACAATGACAGTGTGGGCGGGAAAAATAATACGACTGCACATCTGTCATCTACACCAGCTATTACCGGGCACTGTATATGGATCGTTCCATTATCTTGATGTTTTGACCAGGACGTTCCGGCCTGGCCTGATGCAGTTCCAACATGGTTCTCTGCACAATCGACTGGAATGCGAAGCTCCATCGCTTCGGGTCCTTGTACATCAGTCCCTGAAAAACACGAAAACTTATAATACACTATACAGGTGTACATCGACAACGTGCTCACCAAAAAGTTGTGGCCTTGCACGTCCTGCCACTTGTGCACAGGTTCCTTAGCGAGGTACACATTCGAACAGTCGGCGAATTGTTCCAAAAACGTAGTTTTTCCACTACCCACATTTCCCTCGACAAACACCGTGTACGGCCGATTGCAATATTCGTTGACGGCCATGTTTGATCTAGTCTTGGAAATAAACTCCGCGACAATGTCTTTGACGTCGTGTGGAAGTCGAACGGAACAACTGTGAGACGTGTTTGATGGTTGAATAGGATGGAGCAAAAGCGGCGAAGCACAACGGAGCAATGACGTCGCGGTTGTCGACAGGCCGCGGTAGCGGCAACTCAAACACAACGAATTCATTGCATTTAACCGCCAAAACTTGTTGTCCCCCCCTGACTGGTTGTTGTTGAGTTGTAAGCTTATGTTGGGCCGCCGCTGTTATCGCTGTAGAGACTATTATCAAATCAAGTGCCATGCTGCCATCACCCGCGCATGACCGGCAACGGCACCATAATTGGGTTTAATGTTTAATTTGTCACTTTGGAAACTTTATAAATTATAATATAATAATAATAATTTCTTATTCGTAAACTATGCAAAAATCACTTCTGTACTCCTCCGTGGTCAGTGCTTCAGTGGTGATCATACGATTTTCCTAGAGGTATTTTATTTTTCACTTAATGTTTTATTTTAATGCATTTTAAAATATTTTTTTAAGTTAAATGATTTTAAATATATATACATTATAATTAATTAAATATTAATAATATACTAAAAGCAATGTTTTCCGTAAAGATTAATTCAATCTATAATATTAATGAAAATAAAATAAATATCTGTAATATGATAATATACTTACCCAATGACGGAATAAGTACATTCAATACTTATCAGTTATCATCAATAGGCTATAAGGGTTTAATGGCTACAAACCAAATTTAGGTGTACCTAAATAATACTTGACAGTTGACATACACGTGTTATAAGCACATATATAGTAGAACGGCCACCTATTATAGTTGGTAGGTACTTAACCACTTTTTTTATAAAATCCATTTGCAGGTAGACGATTGTTTTAAAGGGATTAAAACGAAAAAAATCATCAATGTGTCAATATTAATTATGAGTTTAAGACATACACATGTATTTACTATTTGATAAGTTCTTATATAGTATATACTATCAGTAGACTTGGATAGCTATTATAGTTAGGAATGCATTAAAAAAAATAATAAGTTCTAATTTTTCTAATTTTAACTATTTTTGTTCGCGTATACGCAGTAAAATAAAAATTTCTTAAATAAGAATCAGTGTTTTCGAGATTGAATTTGGATGGTGTTATTATTTCTATGTAACTTTAACTTTAACAGTTAAATGATATTTTCAAAAATTACATATTTGAGATGGTCAAAAATTTCGAATTGGTTAATTCGTAATTATTGTATTTTTTAACCATCTATTTTAAAATATTATATAAATATTTAATTAAACAATATATCATTTTTTTTTTTTTTGGATTTTATGCTTTCATCAACAATAATAGTTATTAACCTGTGGTTGGTTTTTTACTATGGAAGAAAGGACGAGAAGGTACTGTTTTTAGAACATGTATATATAAATGTGACTAAAAAGATTTGTCACTAAAAACTCAGATAGTCATGTAAACTGTACATATTTTTTTATAGTTTTGACCAAATATAAAATGTAGTTCTATAAATAAATATATTCAATTATAATAGGTAGTTAATAAATATTTGTTTCTCAAGAGCCAGAAAACTAATTGCCGTGTGAACACTTCTTTAAAATTGACTTTTGTGGTGCACATCCTTGGATATAGGCTTACTTATGTACTCATTTCAGAACTGAATATAGTAGACTTACCTGTGGATAACTTACACACAAAAATTACTTTTCATAAATATATTATATATTATAATATGTATGTACATGTAGATAATAATTTAAGTTTTTTTAAAAATATTTTATGATAGGTACATGGAATTTAATATTTATTCAAATTTTATATGCAAATACATGATCTTACAAGTCTTATTGGTCATAATTGGTTGAGTTAATAGTTTAATTAAACTTTTTGTCTTTTCTACTAAAAAAAACAACTCAACATTATTTTTCATTTCATTTCTTAAAATAGTTGAAATATCATTATTCATTATGTTATGTGTTTTTATATGCATTGTCATGTTAACAATTTAATAAATCATTATCTTAATCCATAGCTTAGAAATTCAATACTGAGGTAGTCATTTTAGCTTCCAATTATAATGATTAAGACATTTTTAACACTGATATGAATCAGATAACAATCATACTTCATTCACACAAAACAAAATCAGATTGTGCTACTTAATAATAAATTTTAGTAAAATTGGTTTAGGCTTAATATTCGAACATTGTTAAATATGGTAGGCTTAAAAAGTCACACAAGTGTAGAGCTCTAATATTTAGGCCATTCTTATTTTTAAATAAAATATAAATTAAGATACATAATACATATAATTAATAGTTTATATTTGGGTAATGAGTAGGTGGTTTTTTGTTTGAATAAAATAAAGCAATGTTTGGAATATTTAACCAGATTAAACATATAAATATTTAAAAGATCAGAATTAAATGAAAAATAATTTGTATTAAAACTAGAAATTATGATATATTATTGTATAATTGACATCTATGTACAAAAATTATTTTATCGTGAACAAATTATATAACAGTACTCTCCAGAAGTTTTCAGAAAGTCTTCATTAAGTTTTCTTTTAAAACTATTTTATCATATTATCATACATACAAATTTAATAGTAAAATAATACATAAGATAGAAAACTTTGTTATTAATCATGAACATACAAAACAACACAGTGATACAACAATATGGTAAATTGAAAATTTTATGTATTTCAGAAGTAATTTCTTATTACATTTATCACTTCTTAAATTAAAACAATAAAAATATATTAAATTTAATAATAATCAAGCATCTGTGTTTTCTGGGTCTGAATTTCCACCAGCATCATAACTTGCGTCATTACTTGAATCAGATAATGGAGTAAATGAACGAGAACTATCACCGATACTGTCAAAGCTGCTACTACTACCACTTGAAAAGTTATCAGTCATCCCACCTGCAGACATTCCTTCAGCTATCATATCTTCCAATAATGATGGAAACACTAATAAATAAACACAACTTGTATTTTAAACTACTGTTAACTAGCTATTTATAATATGAAACAAAATAATCAACTATTGAATTACGTACTAGATATGTTTTCGTCTTCTGAACCTGAACCTTCAGAATCAACTTCTTCGTCTTCATCTTCTTCTACCTAAAATTACAAATATGATGAATTCTAATTTATCAAAAAATCATAAAAAACCTTACCGTTTCGTCTTCATTTCTAGATCTACCAACATCATAAATTCGTACAATTGATTCATCAATATTTTCAAACATTCCTTGATTTTCAACAATAGCTATTTGAGTATCAGAGCTATTGCAAGCCATATGATAAATGAATTTTTTAACATCAACAGTGGCTAAGCACATAGAATTATTATATTTTAAAAGGTGTTAGAAGTTATAAATATAAATTTAACATTATGTTCATTATATTTACCAATGTTTGAGTAATCATCAGGATCTAAAGTTTTAAATGAAGTTTGGTAAGATGAATCATTTTCAATTTCTTGATCAATAACATATAAATACATTCCTTCTCCAGATTTGGAGAATGTTACATTGCATTGATCAAGACTTGACACCGTGCGTAATAACTGGAATGTGCGCATATCCCAAACTTCTGTATTTGATATAATCTACAAAGTTAAAGAAAAAAATTGTTTTCAGAATACAAAGTTAATACAACTAAATTTATAAAAATTATGTTTTACCTCAAGTCCGTTTGGATGAAAAATTCCACTCACACATTGATTTAATTTATCAAACTTGTGGATTTCCTTTCCAGCAATGGCATCCCATAATACACCATCAGATAATACTAATTCATTAGTAGCATCAAATGCTGCTCGATTTCTACTGTACTGATTTGAATGTTTTGGAACTAATGTTAATATTTTTTTACTAGTTTCTAAATCATATATCTGGAAAAAAATATTATAATTAACAATTTATTAAAATAATTAATTTGTAAGCTGAGATTTAGTAATTACTGTTGCTATTTCAGCTTTAGTTCCAAGTAATTTAGTTTGGTCATAATTGCTAAAAGTGCAGAATTCTTCATGGTTCAAAGAATATCTAACCAAAAAAAAAATATTTTAGAACACAAGATAAATATGTTTTTTTTAAAAAATTCAAGTTTAAGTATATTTACTTAATATTGATAGCATCCTCAGTTATAGACCAAATAGATGTTAAAGGTGGTCGCCAAGAAGCAGAAGATATCAATAGCCTTTCATCATTACTACATTGTAAGTCTATAATATATGAATCGTGGGCTGAAAATGATAGTTCTTCTTGAGAAGTAAATAAATTAAATATTTTTATTTCACCATTGTATGTCCCAACAGCGACACGATTTTGGTTCTACAATTTAAAACTTTATTATTATAACAATATAAATATACATAAATTTTATATTTTTATAATAGATTTACTAAAAACTCGCAACATGTGAAATATGCTTCTTCATCGTCCATATGGAACATACGAGTTGGACAAAAACGACTATGTATGAGTCTTTGGTTTAGTTTTCTAGAATGTATATTTTTTGAAAATCGCATAGCAAAATTTGTACACATTGAGCTCCTTGGTTTAGGATCAGGACATTTGTGTGGACTACATCATGAAAATATGACTAAGTATATATTTTTTTGATAATGAAAAATTTAAATACTTACACAAATAAATTGAATTGAGGACATGTAACCATAGGATGTTTACACGAAGCATGTTGATTGGTTAAGTATTCTGTAACAATAGATTCTAAACTAACTTTTGAGTTAGTATTATTATCAGTAAGTGATGTTATATCTTGGTCAATTTTTTTATGAACTGATTTAGACATAGGTGATTCAAGTTCTTGTTCTGGTTCTGGTTTTGGACGAATTTCTGATCGTCTAGAAAAATAAAACATAATTAATAAATTTGCTAATGATACTTAAATATGATTAATAAACTAAATATTAAATATATACAATACCTGTTAACATTCAAACGAATTGGAGTTGAATTTATTCCTCTGGAATTAAATCCAGGAACTAAAGGACTATTTGATAAATTAGATAATTCAGATTTTTGGTTTTGAACAGCGTGTCTAGAACTTATTGGGGATATTCCTCCTCCAATTGACCGATTCTTAAGAAAAATTTTTTTATTAGTTTGCATGTAATTACCAAAAAATTAAGAATCATACTTAAAATAATTTATCAAAAGAATGTGATGCCTGCATTAATTGTTATTTGCCTTTACCTTACTACAAACATACAACATAGAATATTTTCATTCTGAAGAATTCATTTTGTGTTATAGTATAAATATTAGATCAGTTATTAAAATTATCTAGGTTTTCATGTTTATTAATGATAAAACAAATTATGAACATTTTTAAATTTTAATAAATTATATATTTATAATTAACTTTAAAATTTATAAATAAAAATTAATAAGATAACACATACAAATAGTATTTTTAGCTTTTGAGATTTGATAGTAAATTTACTTCATTATGAAGACTAATAATACAAAATAAATTCTGCTGAATGCAAATTATTTATGGATAGGCGTTTGTAAGATAAAGATACAGGTTAGGTTAGGTAACAACATCTTAAACATAATACTTACACGGCAATGGGAAATATATGTAAATGGTGTAGACTTTTTCTCAGCTATATTAAGGTTTGCTTCTTGTACTAATGATTCTGCAGTTGTGGACAAACCTTTAGCCACTAAATGTTGATGTATTAAAAGAAGCAATTGCTGCTCGTTGAAATGAATTTTAGTTTGTGCAACAATGTTTGCCTAAAATTAAAATACATTTAGGTAAACAAAAAATAACTAAAATTGATTACTATATTCTTGTCATTTAGTTGTCCTTAACAGTTAGTTATTTAGGGAGAACTAAGCCTGATAAAAACTATACAATATACTTAGAAAAAATTAAAAAAAAAAACATATGATGTATATTAATTAAAAAATTAATTTTTATTATTTGTCAAGATACAATTTATTGCCTCTGTTTAGCAAATGCGTAATATGGTAAATATAAGTTCTGTGGTTCAGACTTAGATTTTCAATATTAGAGTGAATTGAGCTATAATCTAACTTAAAGGCCAACAGTATTTTCTGTGTTTATTTTAAGGGTGTTCAATAATATTTTAATTTTGAAGCAAGTAATGAGTATTTTTTTTTTTTTTATAAATTATTACTTAATATAATGAATTAACTTATTGTCAAATTTTAAGTCCAGAGCATTATCCGTATTATTTTAATAGGTTTTCTACAACATTTTAATTTAAAAGCAAGTAACAAGTAAAATATGATTTAAAATGTTAACAAAACTAAAATATTGTTAAGAACCAACGATAGAACACAATATAATATTACTTTAAAGTTTGATAATAGGTTATATCACCCTAATATTAAAATTAACTTTGAACTCTTTAACTCAATTTTGTTTTGTTATCCATTTACAAGATAGACAATATATACTGTGGCAAAATCTTTTTAAAGTTTTATAAAAAGTCAATTCTCTTTAATAATTAAATTAATACATCTTAAATCAAAGAATATACTTTTTCTATAGCATGCATTTGTAAAAAGAAGACAAAAAATGATTATGTGGTGTCATCTTATGAGTATACATGAGTATACACAGTTTGATATAACTGTATATTTAATTTTGATACTGATTTATTATATCCATGATTAACTCCATGTTGTTAAAAATTAGCACAAGTTTTGCTGATATCAAAAAAATTATGAAATCCAGTCTATTACATAAATTAATGATTAGTATCAATGTTTTTCTTGATGAATTGAACATATTTAACTATAAACATTTTTAATTTCATAATGTGTAACACAAAACATCTACTATTGTGGTTTTATATGCATTGCATATTAGTTATTGTTTGCAAACAGAATGATTAAGTTTTTACAGACATGGATGAGATGATAACAAACAAATCAGTACTTTAAATTTTCTTTTGAAGTTAGAATAGTTTGAGTGAAAAATAAGTTTGAAAATTTAATTTCAACACATTCCTAATTATTATAAAAGTTAATAAGTTTATTTGAATTTTTATAAATTAATAACATACTCGATTTATATTTGCCAATGATGCTTCTATTTCAGCCCCATTATTTTTTGTTTTCCCTGAAACCAATTCCATTAATTCTAAAGCATATTTTTGAAATGTTACATGTTCTTGACGCTTTTCTTGCAAAACAGGATTTTTCATTAAATCTATAACATGTAAATGACAACAAAATAATTAATAAAAATATTATTTAAAAATTTATCACATTTTCATGATATGTAATTTTCTAATAATAAACAGAGTAAGATGGATTAACATACTTTGTAATTGGCCACTGTTAAATAAAGGCAATTTACTAATAATTTGGCGAACTGATTCACTGCGAGCCAATCCAGCCAATGCACGACTTGCTAATCCTCGTATAGCATCAACATCAGTAATTGGTGTTTTAATAGTCATTAAAGTAAGTAAAACCTAAAGTTAATAAATTATGAGCAATCTAAGTTTATCAATTATAATTAAAATATAATTAAAAATAATTACTTAAGCACATTATCTTAGTTAAATCAATAAATGAATATTACTTTTCTTAATAATTTCAAAAATAAGTTAAAATAACTTTATTTACAACTATATAAGTAAAAAGAAAAGATTTTGTTATTTTTCAATCTTAATATCATGTAATTATAGCTATCAGATCAAAAAAGTTACTATTAGATAATTTGCACCATGTTCAAACTTACCAACTAATTAAACTTTATAATGAAAGTAAACTTACCATAATTCCATTATTATTTCTTATACAATCCCAAATTTTTTCAATGGCAGCATCATCATAAGTCTTGGGTATACGTTTTTTAGCTGATCCATATGATGAATAGTATGCTATACTTCCACCTTCCTAAAGTATAATGTTTATTGATTAGGGAATAACACCAAATCAAATCGAAATTAAGAATACAAAATTATATACCCTGTGTATTGGTGCACAAACACAAGTAATAATGACAGAGAGAGCAGCCTTTTGAATATCAGCATCTAAAAGATCTCCTTCTGCTGCTTTTATAATAATATTTAGTCCAACATTGTCATTTTCAGTATGTTGATCATTTCTCTGTATTGCCGATGTATCATTTTGATTATCCGCTGGAATTCTAAGAGATGGTATTTCACATAATGCTAATTGAACTTTTGGTAATACCGCACATATGTTTAATACTTCAAGTGCATTTTTAATCATTTCACATCTGTAATAAAATTTAATAGATATAAAATGCATATTTAAATAAATAAATAATTTTATCTACTCATGCCTTCCGGAAAAATTCCATTCATGGGCCAAATTGATTATTTGTAATAATAAACTTAAGCCACCCAATTTAAGTAATTGATCAACTGGGGTCCAATGGCTTCTCAAGGACACAGCATTTGCTATTAGCTCAATTTCTTCTTGAACTTCTGCGCGAGATTTTTTGGTAGACTAAAAAATGTATAATATAGAAACCATAAATTAAATTAAGTTATTAAAATATCATACTTTATAACCGGGTACTGAGAAAAGATCATGAATCATTGTTGAAGACATTAATAAACCAGAATCTCTCATTTTCGCCCTACGTATTTGTTGAGCTTTAATATGTAAATGGGCTTCAAAATAATGCTTTAACCCAGCACAGACATGGCGAATAATTTGCCGTGCAGAACATTCAGCATCTTCAGTTAATGCACTAAAAGCTGGATCTTCAGATGAAAGAATAGGCAATGTACTAACCTGCAGAAATTACCATTAGAAGTAGATTTCACAAATATAATTTAATTTGAAATAAGTAAATGAATTAATACCACATTAAGAAGTTTACGTAATCCATCATGGTTATCAAATATTTCTTGAATAACTCTAAAATGAAAACTATAACTGAAGAACATAGTTGCATGACATCTACTAGAATCATGAGAACATTCTAACATCCATAGTGCATACCTTATGAGTCATAATTAAAAACATGTTAATCACAATACAATACTAAAATAAGTAATAATATTTTGACATACTTTACAAGATCAACAAGAACATGTACAGGTAAAAGGCAAATCCTTTCCATGGCTTCCTCACAATATGACAAATAATAAAAGCAAATTGAAACACCAGTGGATGGAATACTAGGTTTTGGGATAAGAAGTAGTTTCTAAAAAAAAAAAAAAATTCAACATTTCAATAATAAGAAAAAAAAATAATTATTTAATGTCAGATTAAAGTAAAGCATACTATAACTATTTCTGAAACACATACATTTAAATTATAAATGTAAAATTTTTGATATTAAAACAATATTAAGTTGTATTACAGTGAACTCAAACCTTTCATCATAAGATATGAGTCTATTGAACGGTTGCAAACATTACAAACTCTTATTAAGTATTATTAGCTATGTACAATATAAAATTATTTGCAAAATATATTGTTATTGCCACAACATTTATTATGTGTTATAAACAGAATACAAAATAGATAATTATTAGAGGGTGTGCAAGCATTTTTGGTTCAGGTCAAAAAATTATAATCCAAAATAATTAGTTTGGAAAGTATAAAAATATTCTTTGATGCAATATGATAAGTACAGATTATATTAGTAATATTGGTACATTAAAGCATAATAACAATTTTTTTATATTTTTTAAATGAAAATAATTAATTTAATTTAAAATTAGCGTTCACAATAGTATTGGATTAGAAATTGATTTAATACATTTTCAAATTTTTTGAGTTAATTGTTTTCTTGAAAAAAAAAAGCTTGAAAATTAAAAATAAAATTATACTTAAGCAGTTCATATAGTAGTTTAAAAATACATAAGCAAATTATTCTTTAAGTTATTTTATTATACGGTAATATAAAAAACATTACTAGTAGAAACTCATGAGGTATATCATTGTTTTAATATTTTCTATGGATAATGATACTTTTTAAATATTTAGACCAATTTTAAACTAATTATATCACTTTATTAACATTGTTTTAAAATATCTACTATCTGCATTACAATTGAGTTGAAGATGATTAATAAAAATAAAATATGATATAATGTATTAATAATATGCATTATTTTAATTGTTTTAGTGAAAAGATTCTATCTTGATCTATTGTATTTCCTAATAAAATTAAGTTTGGTACTATTGAATTTACATTAAACATAATAAACATACTTGTAATCCTTGTGAACCTATGAATTCTGTGGCAAATTTTTTATGGCAGAGAAGAGCAGCTAAGTATTTTAATGCTTCAAAAGTTAAATAACCATTTTGTTTTTCTGAAGAATTGACTATTTTCATGACCAAGTTGAGAGCATTTTTTTCGTAGGCATGGCTTAAAAACTGGAATTGAGTTTTTAATTTTATTATACATATCATACAAATGGAAAACACATACCTCTTGATATTCTCCAGTAGGGACTAAATATTTAAGGCAGTAAACTAATTTTGTTGTCAAAGTTGGTGGGTAGATTTGTATCCAGTTACTTGCAGCACTAGACTCAGTAGAGGAAGAATTACTATCACCACAAATACCATTTTCTTCTAAAATTAAAAATATTATTAGATTGAATAATTAAAATAAAATAGAACAAAAACTAACTATAGTGTTTAGAAAGAAAAAGTCCTTTTTAAGAAAATGTGTTGAATAAAGTTAAATTTTATTAAAAATAAAAAGGCATGGTTAATAATCCTTTTATTCACAAAACATAATTAATATTTTCTGTTAATTTAAATTTTATTCTATTATTATTGTTATGAATAAGTTAATGTTGACAGTTTAAGTATATATATAAATATAATTATCTGTTAAGTGTAAGGAAGTAATACAATGTTTTAATTTTTTTGATAAATAAGAGATTATAAAAAGAATAAATTAATTTAAATAAGATTCAAAATTTGAAACATGTGATTTTATAAAGTATTTGCTTCAAACAATAAATTAATATGTTAAAATTTTGTATTTTTAGTTCTTGTTTATTTTCTTAAGGAAATTACACAAATAAATTATGATTATAATTTTAAAAAGAACGGGAATCGGAAAAAATCCTTTTTGATATGTCATAAAAACTGGAAGTAAATACACTTGATTTACTTAATGATTTCTCAAAACAAATATTTCAATTTTAATTAAAATCTTCAATAATGCCATAAACTTCATTTGAATTAAAAGTAACTTGGTGGTAATTTTTGTACTATAGTCATAAAAAAGTGATTTTTTTTTTAGTATTTTAGTGATCAATTTTGATTTTATGTTGTGTAAGCTATTCATAAAATATTTTTAGTATTATCTAATATATTCAAATACTTGATATAAATAGTAATTTTTTAAGGTTTAAAATTTGTTAATTATTATGTATAAATTAACTTATTACTTTTTCTTTTTGGAGATGGAGCATCTATATCATCATTATTCTGATTAATACTTAGATCTTGTCGATCTTGACATGGATGTATGCTTTGATGGATTTCATTTTCTTTGCAGAACTGAGTATAATATGATTGTAGACGATCCAATACAATTGGGACAAGTCTATTATTATCTTCTCTGTAAAATTTAAAATTATGTTTTAGGTAAAATTTATCTTAATATACATAAGTATTAAAATAAATACTATAAATATAATTTAACATACTTGAAATTAGCAGCAATATCTGTCAGTTCCATACAAGATGCCAATAATCCCGTTGAATAAGTTTGTAATGGTTCACTACTACTTTCAGCCCAACTGAATAACCTTTGAATAAGTTGATCATTTGCAGGCTAAAAAACATTTTTATTTTTATATCCTCTAATGTTATCTTATGAGCATAAGATTTACTTACACTTTCAAAAACAACAGTTGTTTCTAAGCCAGGTATAAGATTCATTATAAGTCTACATGCAGCAACATTTAAATCGTAATTATCTTTAGTTCGTCTTGGCCAATGATGTTCTTTTAAATAATCCATTACTAACTAAAAATATTTAAAAACAAACATGAATTATTTTGTATACTAATTTATTATAATCAAAATATGGATAATTTAAAAACCTACCTTATTCATTAAAGCATCTTTACGGAATAGAATTTTATACATCTGACCCAATACACAAGTAGGATCTATTCGAGATGGATGACGATCATCAAAAGGATCTGGATCTTTTTTGAGATAATTTTTTGATTCTGCTTCAAATAATTCACATAATCTAAAATAAGTTATAGTCTTAATAAATTTAATTAAATAAGATATTTTATAAATATGTTGAATAATGAAAACGTAATGTTGAAGAGTAATTTTAATTATAAAAAATCTAAAACTCATATTTCAGTAAAATATTTATTTGCTAAAAATTATTAAGTATCAAAATTAAAATTAAATTTTCATCTAATAACCTATATCCTTAGCTATTGATTTAATATATAAATTGAAAAAATTATATCGTTTTCAATTACTTGATTAAAATTGGTATAGGGTTGTAGTTAGGGGTCGGCATTTCTTCTTCCCATCTTCGGAGGAAGTTGGTCAGCTCGCTGACAGCGCTGACAGACTGCTCCATCGCTCTATTTAACGACAAAAAAACAAAAAATGACTTCTACAAGTTCTATGACAGAACGTTTGGAAATCGCAAAGATTTTTCCTGTTCAAAATATTAAAATAAATAACAAGAAAAAGCGTCTGTAATAATGGAATTTTAAGAGAACCGCTTTTCAGATCTATCTTTTTTTTAAACAAAATCTATAATCTATTATAGATACCTTGCTAATTACTACTCGTGACTCTAGATGTAGCCAACGGTAATAAAAAGAATGCACACACTATTCAGTAAAATAATTAGCGTAAGCTAGAAACACCACATCACAAGTCAACAACGACGAGCAACAACGACTAGAACGCACGATTCTTGTGTGCAGTTATGCACGGATCGCACTTGTTTTTCGAGGTTATGTCACCACCGTAATTCAACGAGATAAGACACTGGGAGCGCTGGTCAACGTTATCAGTTGCTGTCGCTCACGTTTAGTATAATTTTCTTTACGAAGACAAGATATTATATTCAATTTTACATTGAATACTGATACTAAATTAGTGATTACTGATCACCTTTCACTATTCAAGACTCAAGTATTCATTCAATATAGTATTGTCTATAGTTTACACTGTTTACAGACGTAAGTGGCAAGTGCGCAACTCGTAGTTCGTACTTCAAACTGCCGAAATCCGCGCGGCTTGCATTTAACAATAATAACAATATATGACGGTGGCTTTTACGTATTTTGCTGATAAACAGATAAAACAACAGAAGACAATAATAACATAGAATAATATTGTATTTGTATTATAGTTTAAGAGGATTGGCTGCTCTCACGTCTTATCCGCCCAATCTTTGCCTTTGCCTACAATACAACTATTCCCTAACCGTTCGTGTCCGTTCCTGACGTGAGTGTTCACAATTATTGTTTAAAATTTTAAAATTTTTTCTTGCGCAGAAACAAAGCGTTGTCTCCGTTTTTCGCGGCTTTTTTTTGTTCTCTTATTTTACATTTTTTACAAACGTCCGTTAGTTGGTAGTGTTAGTACTGTTAGTAGTTTAGTACTTTAATTTTTATAGTTACTAGTAAGTCGACGCCCGACGGTAAATCCACAGATACTACCATCACTTTTATTATCACGCGTGCTACACAAGTAATAATAAATATTTATTGGTGTATTTATTAAGTTTGAAATTGTCTTGACAAAATTTTCTCATGCCGTGCAATTTTCTTCGTTTGTATCCTTTCTTTCGGGATTGGATTAGACAATAAAAGATCGTTGATACCATTTTTCTCGTGACCGTGTCCTTTTAGTTTAGTTATATACATATATTTTTGTTCACTTCAATTCGAGGTCAAGTATAACACGATTGATAATATTTCTACATTATTATTATTCCCTTTACTGAATTATTCAATGCTATATTATCTGCCATCTCATTTAGTGCCTGATGCTCCTGAGGTTTATTTTTTGCTTGCACTAATTTATTATAAGCATGTCTAGAGATTAAGATAAACGTATTCTTTCATCTTCAATTTTTTTTTTAAATTTAATAATTGTGAAATTATTTTTTGTGTACTTTATCAGTATTTCTAATCTATAGTTGCTTATTGTCAGTTGTTTTAGTTATGGCCGATCAAAAATCAAATGAGAATCAAAATTCTGAATTTTGTAAGCCTAAGGTAACAATTGTTTGATTGAATAATTCAACTTTATTTTTTTTTTTATTGATATGTACCTATATACAATTATTTTAGGATCCCAAAGATGTTGAAAAAGCTCAAGAAGAGTGTATGAAGAAACAATATCAAATGAAATCAAATTGGCCTCCAGTCAGTGGTCATTCTGCTCTCCTCCAAAAACGTTTAGCTAAAGGGGTATAATTAACTTAATGGATCATAATATATTTAATATCCTGTGTAGTTAAATAAGTTTTTAGTATTTCAGCAATATTATATTTCATGATATTGTTTTAGCTATTTTACAAAAAATTAAATAATTATTAACAACTTTAAACTTTTTTGTATCTTTTAAAATATATTATGATTGTTCATTAATAAAAGAAAAACAAGCAATATTTGTCCAAGCTAATATTAAACATAATTTTTTTGACTACACATTCTAATGATAATATCAAAATAAATAAACTATATAAACTGCTATTTTTGACTTTCAGCAAAAATTTTTTGACTCTGGTGATTATCAAATGGCTAAACAGGCAGGTAATGGTAATAAATTGATTAATAATCGTCCTGTGCAACAAGTATTGGGTTTTGGTACTGGAGATACCATACCGACACCAGACACAGTTCCAGCACGTAAGACCTCCATTATTCAGCCAAAATTTAACTCAAGTTCCACTCCATCATCCACTACGTGATTTGTATGTCTAATGGGTTATTAATATTTATTTACATTTATTTTATTCAGTAATTTAGTTCAATCAAATGTTAATAATTTTAATTTTGTTAATATTATGACTTGTAGCCCATGGAATAAACAAAAAATAGCCATTTGATTAAGCTATTTTTTTTTTTTTTTTTTTTTAATAATTTTATCTTTTATAAGTAATTGAATTTTGTGTATTATTAATTGCATTATATTTCAATTCTATTTTAACGCTCATAATAAAGCATTTTACCAACAAAGTACCTATGATTTTTAATGTATATTTTTTAAATTATAGTTTCACAAAATTTTTATTAGATATGTGAGCACATTCTTTTAAAAATTTTACTTCAATCTGTAACTGCAGTGTTTAGTTCTTTTAGTTATTTTTAATGGGTTATGAAAAATGTTGTATTAAGTTTAATAACTAAATTTTTCGTGTTTTTTTTTTTTATAATGTATGAGTAATATATACACAATTTCAAATTTGTAATTTGATAATTAATTAAAATTAAGTTTTTTTTTATAAGTGTATTAAAGTATTAATTTAAATTATTGAATGATAACACTGAATAACTGATTACTAATTAATAACTTTTTATACTTTACTGTGTTAATAATTTGTTAAACTTGAATTTAATCAAAAAAACTTATTCCTATATGATTTTTTTCACAATTCTTTAAACCTAATTTCATGCCATAGGCGTAAGGCTATATTATTTTTAACTGTATCATTTATATTAATAAAATTAAAGTATTGAGTAATAGGTTCCACACAATATTTACCAACTTATTTTTTCATCAATATGATATATTTGGTACCTTTCAGGATAATAATGTATTTTACATTTAAATACCTGATCAATATTGTTAGATTTGAAAATAATTTTTCTTTTATAATATACTAAGTATGTTCTAAAATTTAAGCCAAAAAAGGTAAGTGAATTCTGCTCTACTGTGCATTAGGTGTCAAGTGAGTCTAAGTGATGAATGTGTCAAATTTTAATTCAGTAATATATTAAAAATGATTAATGATTCAGAATGGAAACTGTTTATCAACTTATATCACTTGGTAAGTTTCATTTAATGCTTTTTAGGTAAAATTGTTTATTTTACTATTAATAATACAGTAGGTTAGAATTATTTTTGTTGAAAATATTTCATTCAAAATATAGTATTACATGTTTTAGCTTTAAGCCCCATAAATAATAATTTTGAATTGTAACAAATAACTAACATTGTTATTTTTTGTTGAAACGTGTAATTTTGTATAAATACAAAAATTAATAGTAGCTGTATATTTTAAATTTTAAATATTATTCATAAGAATACAATTTTTTTACTTAATATGACACTAAGTGCTTTTCAGAATATTGTAGTTCATATAGTATATTATAATCAGTTTTGTTACGATACTTCAAACTTTTAAGTAAATTATTCATATTTTATTATTTATTTATAATTTTTAAATACTCATAACTTGTTTATAAACTAAAAAACTGACAAAAGAACAAAAAAAATATTTATACCTTAAATTTTGATAAGTTATTTAAGCTAAAAATAAAATTAAAATTGCTGAATGTATATTTCTATATGTTACATATTAGAATTAGATAACACAAGAAGGTACGTAGTCCTCTTAAATGGAATTTAATTCTTAGAAGTGATTACATTATATTTCAAATATTCAATTCTTCAAGTGTAACACATGTTACAATATATACTTTACACTTTCATCATTTAGGAATTATAATTCATGACAAATTAGACTATTCTGCTAAAAAGTAAAAATAAATTGAAGGCTAATGATAACTTATATTTTAGTTAATAATTTTTTTTTTTTAAATAGTATAAATCTTACAAAAAGAAAAATTATTAATCAATTTGAGTACATACTCATCAAAAGTACTGTTTTTATTTTAACAGATATTAAGAACACTAAATTGTTTTATACATTGTTTAATTGATTATTCTTCGACTTCTTTTGGAAATTTTGTGTTGTAGTATGGTACGTATTGTAATACCAATTTCCAGTCAGTGAAGTAACACAAAAAGGTGAATCCAGTAGCGCCGTACAAACTTGCGCTCGGGACACTGTAAAAAAATAACCAAACTATTAATACCTAAAAATAAGTATACCTTAAAATCACATTATTTCGATAAAATAAGACCTAAATTTGACCTTAAAATTATCACCTTAATCAATAAATTACATTAGAACATTTTACTTACTACTTGAGTGACTGGTAAATGTACCGTTTACCAATTAATTTCGATACAAGACTCATGTTGAACGGAGGAAATGGTGAATCTGCAAAGATTTAAAACAATTGACAGATACCTGAGATACCTATTTTAATAATTAATGTTTTACAGATTAGGTTACACTCTTGAAAATTACCGAGAGTTCTGACGACAGACAATGTTGAGTTTCGGAAAGAATTAAAAGTGATATTGACTTTACCATATGATATTTATCAAAAAATAAAATTGATAAGATTATACTATTCATATGTATTCTCTTTGGTTTATTAGTATTTATATTTTGGTGGAATTATATTTTAAACTTTGTTGAATTTGAATATCCAACATAATAACATAATCATTAAATATTTCTCTATAAGAATCAATGTAAAGAATTGATATTTTAATAAAGTCTTATTGATTCTCAACAAAGTTAAGGAGAGAATGAAAGGTATCTATCTATAAATAATTATTTCACATTTTACATTAAAATTGTAGTCAAGTCTGTAACAATATATTGTAATTATTGTATTATGCGTGATATCGTGGATATCCGAGTAGCCTGTAAAATCTAAGTTTACCGAAATTTGCATTTTTACTATAATATTGCTATAAAACATTAATTAGGCTGGTTATTTATAAATTATAATTTGATATGAATAAGCTAAACAACTAATTAGATAAGTAAAAATATCATAAAATAAAATCGTTTTAAAAGTTAATCTTAAAGTCAGTTGTTATAAATATTATCGGTGTACTTATATGGTTGTATAAAATATATTTTGGTATACCTAAGATAGTTATTTTCTTACCACAGAAAATAAATATGAAAACGTATATCTATAATTTCAAGCTCTAGTATTAGACTCAAGACATTTATAAATACCTAAAAAAATAAATAAAAATGATTGAATATTATTCAATTTATGATAGATTCTAACAGTAAAATTTAATTAAATGAATAATATTGATTATTAAATCTTAATAATTTTATGTTTTATCAAGTATTCAAGTGACTACAATAGGTAGGTAGGTACCTACATGTATAATAAAGAACATAAAAATATTAAATTCAAATTTTGCTATCGATGCCATTATTAGAAGGTTATTATATATATATTTTTTTCTGTGTCATATTATTCAAATAATTATAGTTAATTATATTTACTTATAAAACACTCATTAATTTTTCAAACTTGTGTAGTTGTAAATAATATTGTTGTATATAAATAATGTTATTTTTTAGAAAATGAAACTGTTATAAATAGTAAAATGGTCACTGTAACGGATGTGCATAAATGTTATCCTTGATGGTATCAGTCCAAAAAACGTTGAAAAAAAATGTTGTTCTGCGCATAGTTAATACATTTTATAACAAAGATCAGACCGTACTGGACTGATGCGTTTTTAAAACTTCGAAAATAGAAATTTCTTTCGTTTTTTCAAAATTGATTAATTTAAAAATTGTTTTAGTTCCATACTACATATAAATAACTATGAAATGAGTATTTTAGAACTTTTAAATTAAGTGATTTTTGACCACTGTAAAAAGACGAATAGTCATATTCATAAAAAAAACACTGCACGAATGCACTACAATATTTGCATTATATTTTGAATTACAGTTACTGATAATACTAAATAATATAATAAATAAATAAGAAATATTAAAAAATATGATGTATACCTAATTTGAAATAATACATTTAATTAAGCTACCTATAAAACAAAATAATATAATATGTAAATATTCTAAATATTTTAGGCGATATCTCTTAAATATGTCAATTGGCTGGCATTGAATTCTGAACAAATATTCTTTATTCTTAAAGCCGTGTTTTTATAACATTTTTTTTTAGGTTTTGGTTCATTATTCGCCATAAATTAGTGTATTTTTAATCGATTTAATTTTCTTCTTTTTCAAATTATCAATAAATTTCTATATGGAAGGATGTATTGCATTTAAAATTGAAGTAAATTAATTGTGCCAGCCTTTTATTGAACTACCTTTTGGTTTGGAGTATATTATTTTCAACTAAATAAAGCAATTTCATAGTTCTATAGGAAATTTTTGATTGCATTATCCTATTATAGACAATATAGACCCTTATAGATTATAAAATTTATAGGTATTACCATATTATTTCATTGTATATTATATAGGTATAATATTTAAAATTTGTCTCTATAATGAATTTATATGTTAAATTAGTTTGCATTAAAAAGTCTGTGTTAAATTGTCCATCCGCCCAATTATCCAGCACTAAATTTTCTGCGAGTACGTGTCCTGACACCCATATTTTTATCTATAATTTTTTTTGTCAACAATAATTAAATAAAATTCATAATTTATATTTATATTTCATATAATTTTTTTAACATATGTATGTACAGAAGTTTATGCAATTTTCCTTGATTATTAAATTCCTAAAAATGTAGCATATTGTAATATATATATTGTTTAGTGTTATAATAAAATACATAATTCAAAAATTTGAAAAGGTGTATTAATTTGGTACTCCCTTATTCAAAACAGCTAATGGGGTCGCTGGAGTCCGATTGTAGTTAAAAAATACTGTTACCTACATTTGCATTTGGAAATAATGATATTATAACCATAAGGTATAAATTCCTCAACTAATGTTGTTTACTACCTTATACTTATTAGAAATGGATGTACCACATACCCATATAGAAAATACCTTAGATATATATATATACAAACATAGGTATTTGAGAAATTTTTAAACAATTAATATACAATATATAGATTAAATAATTATTATAGGATAAAACAATTCTATAGAATAATTAGAATAATTCCAAGAGGATGTTATACTGGTAATTACAATATTGATACATAGTGCATGTATTTTTTCTGACTTCCATGAACTAAAAGTACAGCACAATAATAGATATAAGCAATAATGTCTAAAATATACAAATTAAACGGAAAATAGTTATTTTTCTGCAGTCTCAAATTAAAATTGCAATTGGCCACTAGTAGATTATAATTTTAGAAAATGGTAAAATAAAAGGTGTACAAAATGTTGTTTTAATTATTTTTTATTATTTGTAATTGAATTTTTATTTGATTTGAATATCTATACAATAAATAAATAGATAAAATTAAGATTTTATTCAACACAATATTTACATGTTACTGTTATACTACATGAAAATATATTAAGTAATATTACAATTTCCAAAGTTGAACAATGGCATTTCCAAGTCCATCTCCAACAAAAATTACTTGTAAAAATCCAGCCAAAGTGACAATCGCAAGAAGAGCAACTGTTGCATGTCCAGCTTTGTTAGCCAGCTGTCCTACAACTGGTACACGTAAATAGTCAACTACTAATGCTTCAAGTCCCCTAAAAAAATAAAATATAAATATAATACATATATATTATACGAATAACAATCATAATTTAAAAAAAAAAAATACTTAAAATATTATTGCATACTATTTACAGTATTATATTAAGGTAACCAGCATAAAAATAAAAAGTTTTCTGTTTTAAATATCTTAACTCCAGGTAATTAAAAAAAAATATGTAAGTCAGTTAACATACATTTATGACATTTGTATCATATACTATCTATGAACAAATTTTTGGAGTATATGTTGTCTACAAGTAATTATGTTATCTAACATAGTCCGTATTGAAAGTATTGACAATTATATAGGTATATAGGTGTAGGATTATCCACGTACAGGTGGTCCAACACAGAATATTGGATGCTTATGGAAACACATGAAAATAAAGTATGGAATCAGACCTCATGGAATAACCAAACTTCTTGAAAGACAAATTGCAAGAAAAATGATGAAGATCTGTCAATTAAAAAAAAATGTTTTTGAATATTTTTTACGAGGTATAAAAAAACATCTTTGTAAAAAATTAAAGAAATATGAACAACTGTTAACAAACAGGCTATTTAAAATGAGACAACTATTAACTGACAGGCTATTGAGCAGGTTAGTAACAAAAGTTTATAGATTTATATACATGATTTTTTTTGGAGATAGCATACGACATGTGTGCCAAATTTATACATTTATCTCATATTGATAAGTAATTACATTCTTTTAATAGGAAACATATACCAACATGTATTATCTGATTTATAAATATATGGCAGTAATTATGTTAGCATTAAATAAATAAAAATTGATCTATTATCAAACTTTTATTATTTAATAAAAGGTAAGAATTTTATGTGTATTTAGACCATAGAATACTTTGTTTGTATGTTGATTTTTTACAATATTCTAATTTTTAATAAAGTTAAAAAATTAATTTTTGAATTAAAGTATTGTAAAAACTAAGGTATAAACATAGATAATGTTCTTACCTGAAATTCTGATAAATGATCAATTTACTTTAAAATTTAAACAATCAAATGATATTGTACATTTTAATAATATCATGGCATTACCAGTAAACGTGAAGACTAATACTTCCTGCTAATAAAGTATCAATTATTGGTGATGAATATAATACTGCGGCAGGAAACAATCCCATAAGTGCTATAGAAACAATACGTTCCGTTCTCCAAAGACTTGCATAATTTTTTCCAGTTTTAACAGCTGCAGTACTTCCAGTGAAACGAGCTATCATTGGAGCACTTAATAAAGGCTTCTAAAATTAAATTAAATACCTAGCATGTTATTAAATCTAAACTGCGTTGTTTATATTTCATACTTACAGTTAGTGTTTTATTGCCCAAGCGACTGGCGACATTAAATTGATTCGCACATTTTGACAGTGCATTAAAAGATATTGACCTTTGGGCAGCAAACATTGAACCTACATAAAAGTATACCATTAACATACAAATAAAATTGGAAATTTTTTTTTTAGTAGAAAATAATTTTAAATATGATGAAAATTGTAAATACTAACATTTGGTTTGACGAAAAAGTTTCAAACTCAACATTTTGCTTAAGAAACACAGTGAAACAATAGTTCTACTTAATAAATGTTTATTTGAACGATAGTCAATTAAATTGTTGCACTTTATTACTTTAATTTATCATAAATATTAGCGTTCTCAGTATTGTGCAATTGAGTATTGAGACTTGATAAATATTAAAATAATAACATTTATTAATTGTCCTTAACAATCTTAACATAAGAACATATGACAAAACCACAAAACTAGTCGACCCTGCTCCACAGATAACATAGAATTATTATACATAATAAGATATCGCTTATCACCATAATTTATATTCTATCATCTGATCACTAAATTAATAACTTAATACTGATGATAAATTGTTTTTATTTTATGAACTGTATATTTTATGTACAAAAATGTATTTGTAATTAATATAATATTAAATATTTGTTTGTACTACGAACCATGAACGTAATATAATAGCCTCGAACCATTATAACAGTTAATAAATATTAAATACCATAAAAAATATTTATAGTATCTGTGAGTCTGTGACTGTGTCACCGTCCAAGATTTTATGTAGTCCATGATTTGTATAATTATTATTATCACATATTATTATCAATTCTATCGTATCACAAATTTTATTATCAAAAAACAACAAATGTAAGTTAAGTGACCAAATACCAATTATAAATATATAGTTAAATCTTTTTTTCTTCAGTAGTTTATTCACTTTTGTTGTTTTCATTGTTCAGTTATTTAAATACGTTTTAGTTAGTTATTAATATTGATTTTACTGATGTAACCGTTTCACTCATGTCGACCCATTCACCAGATTTAATTGTCCACCGTCGGTCTAACACCAAACAAGTGCATCCAGTGGTTGGATTAAAAAGAGTGTCTTTCCATGAAGACGTTATTGAACCTGGGAATGGGAATCTCATTCAAATACGAATTGGAGAATGTGGTGAAAGAGGAGCGCCTGAAGGTCAAGAAGACCCACAACCAAATGAAACATTGTCCAAAAGTTCAGTTTTAATATCAAAAAAACTAAAGTTTCCTTCTCTCTACTTGAATGTCTTAAATGTCGATCTCAAATGTCAACAACCCGTTTTAAATCAAATAAAACAGGAAATGATGAATAAAGAATTTAGTGATGTTTGGAATAAACATTTGGATATGGGATCTAACCAACTGATTAGTATAATTAAAAGAGATTTATTATTAAAAACCAAAGAATCTATTTATAAAGTATGTGGAAATAGTTTACTTTTGTAAATCCAATATAATTATGATTATTTTATTTCAGATTTATAGAATGCTAAGCACTGGTGGATCACCTCTATTTGTAGTTATAACAAATATTAGATTTTATGTTTTAACTAAAAATGTATATACTAAACGGTTAGAAGTATTCTATAGTTCAAATTTTACAAGCATAGACCTAATAGCCTTAGGCCCGTGTGATCAAACTGCAGTCTTTGTTAGCGAAAAATCAAAAAAATGCACCTTAATAACAGCGATTGATGTTAAATCTGCATTAGAAATGATTGGCAGTCTTGAGTATGCTTACAGATGTAGTGGATTTTATGACCCAAATAATGCATTTGTTGTCATAAATATCAACTATGATGATAAATTATATGAGGCTGTAAAATGTCAAATTTCAATGCCTAAGGTAAGCCTTTCCTTATAGTTCATAATTTCAATTTAGTTTGTATTAACTATTATACTAATATTTTTTTTGTCTAGGATGAAAAAATTAAATATTATACGTGGTTGTGGTATTACAAAGAAAGTGAATCTTCAAATAATTTAAAATCTCATTTAGAAGAATTTTTAATGGTTAAAAAAGGATCTATATGGAAACCAAGATTTGTGCGTTTAAGGTATTATTGTAACTATATGGCTAAACATCATTATTAACTTAAAACCAACTGACTATATAAACAATAATTAATATTGAAATATAAATGATACAAAAAAAGAAATAAATTAAATAATTAACTTTTATTTCATTTTAGTGAAGATATTTTGTACATATTTAAACATCCAGATCAAAAGTTACCATGTGAATCCATACCTTTAAGATTTGGCCGCTGTAAGAGAGTGAGAAAAATTCGTTCTGATCGACCTTACTCTATTGAAATTTTACTGATTAATTATCCAATTATTTTGGCACCTGCTGATTGCAGTCAAGAAGAAAAATGGTTTAATGCTCTAAGCTCTGCTATGACAGGTGTAAGTTATATTGCTTTTAAATGATAAAAATTAAATTTTTAATTATTTAAAGTTAAAATAAAAAAATAATAACAATAATAGTAATAAATAATAATTATGAAATTAAAACATTAGTTTATAATAAAACAATTTATTGATAAATATATTGTATTCAAATGTTAATAACATTTTTAGCATAAAAATTTGAATGTTGAATCCAAATTGCCCGATGGATATCGTTGTTTATTGACCAGCAGTCATATAGTTTTGTACAATTTTCCTTGCACAATTACAGACAGCATGTTATTAGTTAATATGGATTCAATAAAATGTTCACCTTCCCCATCACACTGCTATGTTGTAATTGTAAGTATGACAAGTATATTTGTATTCACAGTTAATACATTTTACTATAGTTAAAATATTTATGATATATTTGATAAACAAGGAGTGGTCCTGTTACGATGCTACATTAGAGGAAAGCTGCAGTGATTGGGTTGTGCATTTTTCTTGCAAATCTAGTTGTGATGAATTCATTTCATGGTTGTGTACTCTAAGACCAGATTTAAATGTTTTGGAATTAGTTGAAAAAAAATCCATACAGCGACACCTTAAAAATAGTATAACTTTACAAAGTTCACTAATTTAACTTATTTTACTTTTTTTATAGTTTGTTTTATTTATTTATTATTAATTTTCATAAAATGATAAAACTAAAAAGATTGCGCTTTCATACTTGTAAGATTTATTGTTATTGGTTATATTAATTTTGACTTTAACAGAGTAAAAAAAAAGGTGCTTATTTAAAGTTAAGTTTTGCTTGAATTAAGTGATTTATTATGTGTATATTATTTCAACATTTTGTTTTTAAATTTTAAACTAATATAAATAAATTATAAGTGGCGTACTTAGTCCTAAATTTTGAAAGAGGTTTTAAATCTAGAAACTGAGTGACCTTTATTGATAAAAAAAAGAGAATTTGAGAAAAAATTTACATGTTAAAAAACATTGGTTTGTGAAAGATTATCCTTTCCTCTACGTAGTGCGCCACTTAAATTATAATTTAATATATTATGTATAATTAAATAATATTAATGCAGTGTAATGTAATAAAAACTCATGTATATATATATTGATAAAATGTATAATATTAATTTCTGTGATAGGATTCTTATAAATCATCATTCTTGTTTATTTGATATTTTGATTTATATAAAATCCAAGATTTTTTTATACTTTAATGTGACTGTTAAAAATGTAAGAAACAACTCATACATTAGAAATAAAATATTATGATAATTATAATTGCTTTATGAAAATACATAAATAAATTGTAATACAAATGATGACATCTTTTTTATTGAATAAGATATCTGTTTGGGATTTAGGATGTTAGGTCAAATGCAAACACGGATATACCTATCCAAAAAAACTAGTCAAAAAATATTATGCAAGTTATTAATGTCTAATTTATTTTGTAAACAATTTATTTAGGCTAAATTTATATTAATTTTTTTTGACAAAATTAGATATTGAAACAAAAATTAAAATTTTATTTTCTTAGTATTATTTTGTTATTAAAAAAAAATATTTGCATATGAAACTATATGTATGTTGCTATTGCATACATTATTTATTATACATTTATACACAATGGCATTTTTTAATTTTTTAGCTACTTATACCATGAACCCTATGGGTATTGACTATTGCTTTATGTATAGGTCATAATGTTTATAGTGAATGTAATTTGTTTTTTATAAAAATTACTTCGACTTACCTTATTAATTATTATTAGTAGAAAAATTAATATTTAATAAAATATTCTTATGAATAAAGATAGATAGACTGTCCCTGCTCAATATCGTTTTTTGAACGAGATCCTTTATTATTAAATTAAAATTTTGTATCTATTACGGTGACTTACTTAGTATCTCAATGACGAGGTAGGTAAACTCAACACCTATACACTATTATACGGAATTTTAGAGCGATATTACCTGTTTTTATTTTTGCTCGATTATTTTATGTACTGTGCATTTTTTTTACCCTTCTCCCTTCTTAGTTTTCACTTTTAAAAGAATCAAAAGATCAAAAAAAAAAAAAGAAAAAAAAGAAAACATTAACCAAATAAAATTATTATACAGCCAATAGTCAATACATTTAATGCTAAGCTCAGAATCTAGAATTATATAAGTATATTATAAGTAAAAAATGTAATTATATCGATGTATGAAAGCACTTCTAGAATCAAATTACTCCCTCATTTAACCTAGTGTAGCCTTTATAATTAGTTCCTGATTAATAAAAATTTACTTCCTAAGTTATCACTGGATGCCTCCATATAAACAACATAATATAAGAATGTTTTGATTATTAGTTCCTACTTAAGTGGCTAGTGGTTTTGTATATTGGGTGAGTGTGTACGAAGTGATCGAATCGGAAAAAATAAAATACGGGGCACTGATGAAATAATTTATTTATAAATAATGAGTGAACTAGAATAATGTGGCCAATGACCGAGTACTCATAACTTGGGTTTCCGTGGTCATCCCGCGATTCAAATACTGATTAATTGGCGCTCAGTATACATGCAACTATGCAAGTACCTATCAATGTTCACATTGTACATTATATTTACATTATAAGATTTGTTTACTCTAATCACTAAGTGAATATACCAACAGCAATCATAACAATATGGTACTGCATGGTCTGTTGGAGCGGGAACTAAACGTATAATTGGCTGGAACAGTTATGCTTATAGGTGGGTAGCTGTATATCTATACATATGTTATCTATCTGTATTATATTATTATGAGGAGTGAAGACGTTAAAATAAAAACTGACTGTGAAATCGTTTCGGTGGTTTAAACTATCTTAATCGAAACTTATTGTGTATTGAATCGCTGCTTAATTAAACGAGTTTTAAGTAACTGTAACTATATGGGTACGAGTAAACTACAAGATCTAGAGTGACTTTTTGTTTTTAGCGTATTGGAACTTTGGAACCCATTGAATTAATGATGATACACAAGTATACAACAGAGACCAGAGTATACCTATTAGAATTTTTATTGTGTAAACAAATATTCTATATTGCTATGAAATATAGGTAATCTATAATTATTTGGAATTTTTAATTTTCAGATGATAGGTAGGTACCTATAGTATCTTCAAAAAATACTGTAAATGCATAATAAGTTTTAATCAGGACTATGAATTTAATACATTAAAAAATTGTTAAATATGCATGCATTTATGCACTAAAGACAGGCAAAATTTGCACTAAAAATTCCAAAAAACGTCTGTATTAAAATAATAATAATAATAATAATAATTAAAATCAATAAGGAAGTTTTAAATTTTTTATTTATATACTTTCTTTAGGTTAGGTTTATTTTGTCGAAAATTACGGAATTATGATTGAATTATAAGCTTATAGATATCAGAAGAATAATGACTTTTTTTATTGGCTAATAATTCAGTTTAAATACCTACCCAATTATAAATATATAATAATTTCATTGGATGACTGGAAAAATATTGATATCAAAAATAGAAACATTAATATGCCCTAGTTTAAAAATATGTAAAATAAGATTTAGTTTTTGAACTATAATAAAATAAAATACATTTTTCTCAAATCCATTTCTTTTTCTTTTACGGTGCAAAAAAAATAAACATACTAATACATTAAATTCATAATCGTGTTTATAACTTATAAGATTTTAAATACTACATCATACCTATTTACGTAAAAAAGGCGTAAAGTTTTTTTTACAATAGGTAACAGGTAGGACATCACTATGGAACTGTCGAGACTCGAGAAAATGTGTAGTCGCGCTCGTAGGCATTATACATAATATACTTAGGTGTTAGGTATACTTATATACGTTATAAATTTTCATAGTGTATTTATATAATATTAGTAAACATATTAAACAGTTAGATCTATTGTGAATGTTCTTTTAAATCGGAATTTTGCTGAGATAAACATATTTTTAAAAATCATTTAAAAAACAGAAAAGCGCACGTGACTAACTGTTTGCAGCCACTTAAGCTATGTATATATCTTAGTAAAATATTTTATTGTATAGATAAATTGACTCGATTCAATTTACATGCTTAACAGGTTTTTTTTTAAGATGCACGCTGTTAAAATGACTTCGTGCATATCATTTTATTCCGCGATTGTATAGATAATATATATATATATATATATATATCCATCATAATACGAAATGTTCCAGTGAAACTTAAAAAATGCGTGAACTCACTTTCTCCGTAATAATACCTAACTATAATAAAATACGATATGTTTTGTGTACCATTGCCCATTTCACGTGTGCAATTACAATATACAACGGGAGGTCATCATGACCTATACTTGTGTATCTTTATACGATGTTTGAAACGTTCTATTCGTTGGTGAATTGTGAGAATAGATAAAACTTCATACCTATAAGAAATTGGACTAGTATTCTGACAAATCCTGACAATATTTGAATATGCGTTTAAGTTCAAAACTACTTTGTTTTCAAATTCAAAATTGAATAACTCATCTGCTTGACGTTTCAGTGGCCTTTTCATGCAGGTTGCAGGTACCTACTTAAGGTTTGATGGGAAAAAAGTAATGCCAAATGACACAAAAATTATTTTAATTTACATTAAAAAAATAATATATCTTGTAATATAATGTTTTATTTGTGATTTTTACAAAAAGTTATAACTTATAAATAATACATTGAACTAATTCAAATTTTTAAACTGATCTTAGGTATTTATTTACTAACCTTAAGGATAGGCTATTGATTATAATTTATTAACCATTGACATTTACAATCAATATCGATGACGCTAAAATATGTATTTTTGTTTGAAATGGTGTATATAGGTAAGTCCTGCAAATCGTTCGTATACTACACAATTATATTATATTTATATAGGTTTATACAAGAATAAAATAATTTTTGAGTAAAAAATCTCTCCTACACGTAGTATATACGTGATTAATACTTAGGTATACTTATTTCTAATATGAGAAAAAGTGCTGTTTGAAGTAATTTATAGAACAGATGATTTGTCATAAAAAAAGTAACAATTTTTTTACGTATATTAAATTGGTACAATGTATATAGGTAATATCTAAAAAAAAGGTAACTCGATTTTTATAATATTACAGCATTCGGCATTTTTTCTGGATAAGACGACGGTGTACTTCCACGTAATGACAAACGGTATATGATGTAAAATAATATATAAGCATTTTCATTACATATAAAATCTTAACTTACATATAGATTACAGGATATCTCACAAGGATGTCTTACATGAAGCGACTCAGTAGCGTGCTCAGCTTATTTTTAACTATTCTCAAATCATATTATAACAATAATAATTTATATTCTTGCATTTTAGTTCATTATAGTAATAGGTATGTCATTAGTCGTTTATAAGCTGTAAGAATAATTTGTATATTATAATATACTTGGACATTATTACTTATTAGTAATATCTTGGCGTAAATTACCCAATATGATGGAAATAAATATGCCTTATTATATTTTCTTGCCATCAATCAACTTAACTGACATGAAAAATTAAAAATCAAACAGAAAAAAATACTAAAAACATGAATTTTTAGTTTAATAATAAATTATGAGAAATTAATATACAATAATTATCCAAAGCGGAGATATGTCATCCTCATCTATGAGCACGCGCCTAAAGCGACTTCAGGATAACATTAAGTTTAAACACGTCCATTTGGCATAACTTAAAACTTAAAAGTGAATCTTTATTGAACATTATAGGTATATACCACTTTGGCACACTATACTCTGTCATATACCTAGTTGATATTTGAGTACGCACGTTTTATACTATTGTCGAGTTGCATACAAAACTCGATTCATTTTATGATTCACTTAAGTTAAATGAGCCATTAAATCACGTTTAAGGGACCATATACCTATTATAGCTATGATTATTGAATATTGATTAATTATTCTATGTTTAGCGATTTTCAATGCAACCCGATATTGTGAACTTTAGTACTTAGTACTTACATATTATATGACACCTAGGTCAAGCCTCTGGGCTTTTATTCGACCGTACGAATAAAAATGCAAAATAAATTAATAAATTGATTAAGTGGACTAGTCGATGTTTACATAATAACATAAATTATTAAAAGGCGCGTAATAAATAAATAAATAATATGGTTTTTTTAAACTCTGTGCTTAAATAGTGGCGGTGACGTCCGTCGTCGCAACGAAGCAGCGACGGCTAAATCCGTCCTTTTGTGGTCCCAGTCTGTAGCCGTTTGCGTTCCTTCCAAAGACGTGTGGTGTTGTAGTGACGGCGGCTGCTGCTCATTCTGTCTGTCGTGGTAGTGATGCGAACGATCGCCGTCTCCTTGGCGATGATTGTGATAACCGTGGTTGACGTACTTGACCTTGGGTCGCGGACCGAATACCATGTTGCGGATGGTCATGAAAATGGCCGCGTTCAGAGCCATGTTGTTGATCATTAGCGCTGACATGACCATCATCTTGAGGTTGGCCAAAACTATCGGCGCGAAGCCCAGCGCGATCAGCTGCGGTATCAGCATGTACGGGTTCAACATCATCTTCTTGAAGTGTCCGCGACCTTCGGCCGGCACGAGGGTCTTCGTTGTCTGTAGCGTGGCTACGTCAGGTCCGGCCGGATCGGACTCGGCGGCGGTGACGGCCAACATGAGCGCGAACCCAAGAACAGACGCGAGCGAATCCGCGACCGATCGCGAAGCGTTCATCATACCTATGCGCGTGACGGCTATCTAAGAGACACTGACCAACGGCAGTGGCGATTGCGGCAGCGACGTCGACGGCGTTTACGACCATGATGCTATAGCGTTAATAGCGTGTCGATCCGTCCGGATGCCTCGAGCGGTAGCGGGTTTTCGCGAGCACCAGTTACCGGGTTGTAGAGAGGAGGTGTGGTGCATTCCATGCGTAGGACCCGTCGTCTATTGACCCACAAAACCATTGACCGGCTTACCACCGCCGTCATCATTGCGATAATGAGGGCACACCGCAACATATGACGACGAATAGCGTATGATTATACTAATATTATTTTAGACCAGTGTGTTGACTGGACCGGTTTTAAAAATAATATGTTTTCTACTGTTTGTTACCGTTTCTTCGAAATTTCGAATACGCGCGAAAATATCGTCATTTACAGTACCTACTAAATATGATTAGATACTTGTAGGTACAGTCTTATGTTTAGCACCTAGAACCACTGTATTGCTTATGTCAATTTATTTGCATCTTCTTTTTAATCGGATGAACATTACTGTATTAGTGTATAATCGAGTATTACTTAGTTAATACCTATAGTAAACTTGATTCTTTTAAGTGAGGAAAAGATTAACTAGATTACGTTGTACCCACTACTGAATAAAAAACTGTTGATAATTTTCAACGTTTTCAAAATATTACTGTGCTAACTGAGTATATATTGAGATTTCATTGAAAACGCCATAAATTTTTTTAGTAAAGGAAATGGTACATCAATTTTGTCAGTTTGAAGTTTTTAAAGTTTGAATTACTCAAGGTAGAGCTAAGTACTACTTTTTTTTATATTAAACTAATATATTAAATGTTAATTAATCGTACCAGTATTTATTAAAAGATTATAAAGCTTAAAAAAATAATTGTTTACACTACATTAGTTTGATATAATTTCAAAAAATAATATTATGATATAGACAGCGTACGTGAGATAGAAAATAATGTGGTCTTGCGATAAACATTTTTACTAGTATAAGTGATAGAATGCAAGTATTTTACTGCGTTATTTGAGAAAACGTGAGAAAAACGGCAAACTAATTGCTTTTTTTAACTGTAAGAGTACAATGAATATGAATTTATTAAATAATAGCCATGTCGGTAAATTATTAAATGGATGAATTTAAATTAAAAATGATTTAATCACTTGCATAATCTGTGTATTTAATTCGCTTCTTACCTATTTGAAAAATTGTTTTCTGGTAAAATTAAATTAGGTAGTACCTAGAAAATTCAAAATTTCTTAATTAAATATTTTTGCAAATTAAAATAATTTATAAGTAATTTAATAATTAAGTATGGCTTGCAAAGCATAATTCAAATTTTGTATTTACTAATATAACACCTGTATTCTTAAATAAAAGTTCTCGATCCATTTGTAAACACATAACGGATCTTATTATATAATATGTTAATCCCGAAGAAGAATTTCAAAAACTGATGAGCCACAACAATGGAGAAGACCAATCAAGTACAGTGAAAGTTTATATAAAAAAGAATATATCATTTTTTTTCCTTCAAAAACAATTGAGTAATAATATTCCTATTTTAAACCATAATGATTTTATTCAAAACCACAATTTACTTTCATTGCCATGTAGTTTAATTTTATAATTTACGTCCATAACAATGTTCTGAAGTTGATAGATATAAATAGGTATAAAGTGCTCCAAAATTTTATTAAATATTGAGCAAGGCTTAAAATATGAAAGTAACAATGATTATTTATCCAATATTATCATTAAATAAGTTCAATCTGATTTTACAAAATTTTATTCTGCATTTCCACTAACATTAACTGAGCATACTTTCATCTACGAGAATATTTATGTTAATGCACTTTTAGTTGAACAATAGATGAGTTCTTTAATTTATTCTAGAATAAAAACCAAAAGATTCACATATCAGCTAGTTTAAACGTTCATAAAATAAAAACACTAAGGAATATGTCTGAAGAATGTCAAAATAAATTATCAATATTTTTATTAAATGAAACTGCAATTATAGGAAATCGAGTTAATAATATACATTATGGAATATAAATAGAAGATATTCAATGTGTTCTGTGATATGAACGAGTACAATATTCATTGAATTAAAAATGGGTTGGTTGTCCATTATGGTAGACCATAGATTAGTGTTAATCCTGATAGCTTAGATTAAAAAATGGAAACAATTTTTCAGTTTTAAATATTAAATGTCCCACCTCAATACCTCATACAAAAAAAATCTATATAGTTGACCAAAATTATCAGCAAAATCAAATATAAATTGTATTTATGTAAAAATGGCGAAGTTAAGTTAAAATATAATCATACATATTATACACAATAATTACACAAATAAAAATGTTACTGTATTGTATAGATTTAAATGATTTCACTTATTTATTTTTAATGAAATTAAGTCTTTGTTGATAATAATTAAAAAAATACTTAACCTATTTAGAAAATATCATTTCAAAATTGAATACATTTTAATTCCTAAATTTTGTAACCAATTAAATAAATTATAGCAATTAGTTAATAATTTATTGATATTTTATTGTATACGATGAAAAACGATTTTGAGCGAATACTGTCTAAATTTTGGTGACCATAGTTACAAAACAATTATTTTAATAATAATATAGGATTTACGTAAAAGTTTTCGTCTTTCCTTTTTTTATTGTTTGTTATAAATTATAAAAAAAAAAAATGAGGGAAATTTTTTAATTTTATTTCTTTAAAATATGAATAAGATCTAATTTTCTGTTTAAAACCACTCTTGAAGTGAAAATTTAATCATTTTATTGACTACTCTCGTGCACACACTCAAAAAAAAAAAAAAAATAAATAAATAAATAAATAAAAATATACACACACATTATTGTAAAATCAATATATTCATCGTTAAGTTAAGAATCTAAAAAAAAAAATTATAAAAAATGAAAAAAAATGGTCTTAATTTATTATTATTTAAAGTTAATAATATTATATTGATTATTAAATTTTTATTTTATTTTTAGGTAATTGATACAATGATACCGGATTCATTATTTTATAGATAGCTAATAATAAGGATGGGCTCTCTACTTGTCAACCTTTATTTGTCACTCTAAATTAATTACAGCATTTTTTTAAATTTAATTTTTAGTTTCCATTGTTACAACAATAATATTCACTGAAATTAAAATGGCAAATACCCGATTAGGTTAAAAATAAAAAAAATTATCGATTTTTTGTAGTTTTTTTCTAACATGACTACATTTATAAATCAAAGTTTAAAAATTGTTGAGAAAATCAAATTTACTTTTTAGGCATTATAACAAACAGATAAAAAATAACATTCAATTGGAAAATTTGTGAACTTATTTCAACCATGAACTAAATCAGCAAAATTAATCACGATTCATGAGTAATGGTAAATTTTTTCGCTGATTGAACTTGTTTGGAGTAGCTAATGTCAGATGAGAATATTTTTATGTTTTAAAAATTATTGTTATATAACCATTTACCTATTAATTATTTTATTGTGGTTTTAAATTTAACTATGAAATATTTAAATACTAAATACCTATAGTGTAGAAAAATAATTTTAATTAATAATTATTAATTTACTATATTATAATAAAAATGATTAATATTATCTGTAAAATTTTCTTTGTTTCAAATTAAATTATTTAATAAGTGATAATATATACATATATATAAGTTGAGTTCGAATAATATGAACTTAATGAAATCAATATAGCTATATATTTATTAATTGGCTGATGAGCCATAACTAGTAACTATTATAATAAATATTTCTATTTTTGCCTATTGTAATTTTTAAATTTATCTAAATTGTATTCTTAGAAATACATTATGTACATACTCAAGTTTGATTGGTTTGGTTTAGATAAATGTCCTAATCTACCTTAAAGTAATAATCAAAATACAAAATTATATATCATAATTGGCTAATTAACTCTACTGTAGTACAAGTAGAAATAATACTTAGGAATTATATAAACAATTATTGTTTTTACTCTAAAAGTATTATCTATTTTTTTATAGACTCATATCTTTGATCTAGGAAGTAGGCTATTATTATTAGTAGTATTTAGTTGTTTATACAAAATATACGAGAAATACCTCGCTTGATGAATAATGATCGAGAATGTTCAATAACAATACCCTTATTGACCAAGACAACACATGGGGTGTGGCGTCCTTTTATAATATGTTTATAATTTTATAAAGTTTGTATTTACCATAATTTAAAAATTGATATTAGGCATAATCATAAATTATATCTTTAATGATAAAATTCGTGTTAAAAATATCAGACACCTCTTTTCCCACATGACAAAATCATTTTACCGCCACTGAATGTCTTGGCTTAGGATAGCTGAACATTAACTAGATAAACAATTAATTTAAAATCCACTGACTTATTGGTGGTTGATTGTACATTTGTACGTGAACGTAATATATGCTATAGCTGTAGTACCTAAGTTAGAAATTATAATATATTACCAGTTGCCCACATTTGATAAATGATAATGATCCGGTTTTCTATATAAAGTAGTAAAGTACTACTACTCTATGGTTTTCTGATAAAATTAATCCTAGTTCCTAAGTATAAATTTGTACTGCAGTTGGCCATTTACTAATAACTCGTTAATTATCTATTATAATCGTAATATTCATAAATCATAATAAATTTTAAACATTTTTGAATAATATACATAATTATTTGAAATATTGGAAGTTTTACCTATGATAATATGTAAATATATCTATATACAGATTTAAAGGTAATAATTATTTTCATTGATCTAATGTATTGATCATAAATACTTACATTTCATGTTATTTATTATTTTGATTTTATATGACCGATGACTATAATATAGGTATGTTAATAGTTTATGGCATGAAAATAAAAGAATACATTATTTATTTATTAGAATATTCATTAAATTCTTAATGGTTGTTCATACAACTCGACATATAGGTCCTAGTGGTCATACTAGATTTTAAGCATGAAAATGTATCGATGTCTTGTACGTGCTACGAGATAA